GGTCTCGCTGAATTACCGCGACATTGAGGGTGAGCTTTCCCATCCTGGTTCCTATAAAACAACTTCCCTCTAACCATGCACCTCGCCGAGCAGTCACGAAGGGCGAATACAACCACCACAAGTCCGTCACCCAGGAGACGCCCGCGACGGTCCCCTGCTCGGACATGAGCGGCGTGGTCACGCAGGTCGGTCCGTCGGTCTCGCGCTGGCGCGTCGGCGACCGCGTCCTCTCGACTTTCCTGCCGGATCACCTCACGGGCCAGGTCACGCCGCAGATGCTCGCCAGGGGCATGGGCCACCCGCTCCCCGGCGTGCTGGCGACGCACCGCGTCTTCCCCGAGCAGGCGCTCGTCAAGGCCCCCGCGTACATGCAGGATGCCGAGGGCGCCACGCTGCCGATCGCCAGCGTCACGGCGTGGATGAGTGTGCAGGGTCGCTTGCGGGCGGCGGTGGAGAAGGGCGAGGATGTGAGCCGGAAGGTCGTGTTGGTGCAGGGGACGGGCGGGGTGGCGGTGGCGGGGCTGCAGATCGCGAAGGCGTGGGGGGCTCGAGGTGAGTCTGCGCAGCTTTTCTTCGTTTCATTAGGTGGTGGGTAGGGCATGTGCTAACTGTGCCAACCCTACTCAGTGATTGTGACCTCCTCGTCGGATGCGAAGCTCGAACAGGCGAAAGCCCTCGGAGCCGACTTTACGATCAACTACCGGACCACGCCCGACTGGGAGGAGGAGGTCAATCGCTTCACCGAGGGGAATGGCGTGGACATCATCCTTGAGACCGGTGGCGCTAAGACGCTGCGCAAGAGCTTCGAGTGCATCGCCTTTGGCGGGTTGATCAACTGCATCGGATACGTCTCGGGGAAGATGGATGAGCCCGAGGATCGCGTCAACGTCAACCTCTTGACGCTCCGGCGCAATGTGACGCTGCAGGGGATCATCAATGGGCCCCGGGATGAGTTTGAGAGGATGGTGGAGTTCTACGAGCAGCACCAGATCCGGCCGGTCGTGAACCGCGTGTTTGGGTTTGCGCAGGCCCGGGAGGCTTTCGAGTTTGTGGAGAGTGGTGCGCACTTTGGCAAGGTCGTGATTGATGTTGTCGGGGCGTCTCAATGAGGGGTTGTATGTATGATGGGGATGAGGGTGTTGTAGGAGTGTGAGTGTATACTAGCTTTGCAGGCTTACGGTTGCCTAAAGAGTGCCTGTATGAGTAGGATTATCGACGGGGGTCTGGAAATAGCAAAATCGTGATGTTCCAGCTTGCTGTTTGTAGAGGGGGGCATGTAGTTCTGAAACGCCACGCAGTGATTTTATATACAACTTATATATATGCTGGCAAAGGCCTTGGGTGCTGCAAAAGACCTTATATACTTATATTACTAAAGAATAATAATTAATATATTTTGATATAAAAGTAAAGACTTACTTTATATTTCATAACTCTTGTAAGGGATGTTGGTGTTTGGGCAAGGAATATATTGAGCGCGAGTTTTTGGTGGTAAACACAGCTGTTCCGGAACTGGGTGGTGTTTCGGAACTACATGTCCCCCTCTATAACAACTTCGAATTATACCTGTACCATGTTTCCAAGCAGCTGTATTCTTTAAATGTGCTGTACAAGATAAGTTAAGTTATGCGCGAGTCAAAAGTTGTTCACATTCATCTGGCAGCGATGCATACAGCCTTATAGCCCTGCGCTAACCGAATAAGGTAAGTCCGACGGCCCCTCGGAAATACTGAATACGGCAACTCCGAAACCTTCCGGTCGAGCAATCGACTTTCTGTCTGCGCTGGCTCGATTTCTCATCATCATCATCGAACATTTAATTCCATCCACCAGAAAACGCGCCAAGCTTGGTTAAGAAACAGTGGTGCAGATCGACCAAACGCATTGACTCATGTTGACATAGAGGATGTCCGTCGACAACATCCATCCAGCTTATCCTCTGTTTGGAGACTGACAGCTCACTACTGCAGTCCGTTTGTTGACGGAGACACTTTAAGGACTTTCCGGGGCTAGTTAGCGCAATCACGCGGGGTCAAGCTTAGTGTCTCTCATCTCATCTCATTTCTCTCTCATCTTTTCTCAAACCCCTTTGCCCAGCAAAGCCCTGCCATGGATGGAGATCCTCACCTTCAGCCCGACCCATCCGGCCCAACCTCGCCGGCGAAATCGCCCGCCCGGCGACGCAGACCGCCCTTGTCTTGCACCATCTGTCGGCGCCGCAAGCTGAAATGCGACCGCGCGCTGCCATGCGGCCAATGCCTCAAGTCCAAGACCCCCGATCAATGCGTCTACGTCGGACACCAACCTCCCAGGTCCGATGCACGGCGCGGGGAGAATACCCCCTCGGAACGCGCGCGGGCCTCCGCCACCACCACTCGCGCCAGCCCCGCGCACGGCGGGTTGTATGTGTTCGACTCCAAGCATCAGCAGTCGGCGGCGAACAAGATCACGAAGCCCAAGGCGCGCTCCGACGAGCTGCACGAGCTGCGCAATCGGGTGCAGTTTCTGGAGGCCGCGCTCTCCAAGACGGGTCCCATCCACACTCCCGAGAGCCTGGGGTATGACGCTCCGTCGGAGGCGGCGGGGCGCGCCGTCGCCCCAGAGGCCCAGAATCTCACGGACGACGTCAAGGAGCTCTCGTCGCGATCGTGCTTCCGCGGGAAGAAGAGTCGGACGCGCTACTGCGGACGCTGCCATTCGGCCGTCACTCTGGCCTTTGTAAGTGAGCGGCGTATTTTTTTTGGGCGTGATTGGCTGTCGCTGACCTTGTCGCATGCAGTTCGACGATGTCTCTGTCTTCATGAGAGGGCAGCGTAGCAGCTTGAAGCGCAATCCGGACTATAAGAACTTCAAGAGTTTCAAAGGTGAAATGTGGGCCCGCGAGCGACAGGATCACCAACGGGCTTTTCGCAACAAGTCCTGGAATCTGGAGGAGATGGTCCCGCCGCGACACGTTGCGGACGAGTTGGTAAATCTGTACCTGTCAACCTTTGAGATGACCTACCGAATCTTACACGTGCCGACCTTTCTGGAGCAGTATGAGGCTTACTGGACGGCATCGGGCCCACGAGACCGTTGCTTTGTTGCGAAACTCCTAGCCTTGATGGCTGCCAGCAGTTGTTTTCTCAGTCCGACGGCGAAGATCGATGGTCGAGAAAAGCTCCACGATGCGGCAGCCGAATGGATCGCGGGGGTCCGCTCCTGGATTGCCTTGACCCTGGTCAGCTCGACCATTGATTTCAACATCTTGCAGATCGAGTGCCTGATTCTCATTGCACGCCAAGCGGATGCCATCGACGGGGACATTGTTTGGATCTCTTCCGGCTCACTCATTCGTATTGCGATGACAATGGGCCTGCATCGGAGTCCCTACCGATTTCACAAGATGACCAAATTCTGGGCCGAGATGCGGCGCCGGCTGTGGGCCACGATTGTGGAGCTGGACTTGCAATCGTCAATCGACAAGGGAATGCCGCCTAATATTGACCTGGAGGAGTTCGACTGCGAAGCCCCGTCGAACCTCGACGACTCTCAACTCACAGAAGATATGACGGACGACCCTGTCCCCAAGGATCTGGGAAACTTCACCCGCAGCACCTTTCAGGTTTTACTGCATCAGACCCTGCCGCTGCGAGTGCACATCGCCAAAGCCATCAACACGCTGAAATTCACCCTCTGCTACGACGAAGCACTGCGCCTAAGCGAAGAGATCAATCAATCCATGCAAGAGGGAGCCGGCATATTCCATCGCATGGGAACTGCCATGTCCGCCCCGGTAGGCGAGGATCCTTCCTTCGCACAGTCGATGCTGGTGTTCCTGATGCGACGGTCGCTTCTCGTGCTCAACCGCCCGTTCGCCCTCAGCATCCTCCGGACGCCGAAGTTCTCCTACTCGCGCAAGATCTGCCTGGAATCGGCGCTGCAGATGCTTTCTTACCTCGAGCCCTCGACGGAGGCGCAGGCGCTGCCTCAGCTGGCGCAGCTCAGCGGCGGGATGTTCCGCGATGAGTTCCTCCACGCGGCCCTGACGGTGTGCGTGGAGTTGTACCTCCAGTCCTGCGAGTTCAGCCTCCCGCAGTCCTTGCCGATGGGGCCCTCCAGTACGTTGACATCCTTCAATGATCTCGTCCGGTCGCAGCAGGAAGTGATGCTGCAGGCGGTGCAGCGGACGATCGACACCTTCGGCAACCGGATGGGCCCCAGCGGCAAGGGCTGCAAGGCCTTTTTCTTTCTGACCATGGTGTTGGCGTCTGTCAAGGCGCGGATCAACGGGCAGGACCCGCAGAAGGTGATCGAGCAGGATGTCATGGTTTGCATGCGGCAGTGCGAGCAAGTGATGCGAGGGACGCCATGGGCTGCGGTCCGCGATCAGACGGGCAGTTCCGCGATCGTGAGTTGAATGGCAACGCTGGGTGTTTCAATCGCTAATTGTCTGTAGCCTACTACCGCTACCGGTCTACCGTCGCTGGATGCTACAGCCCCGGTCGATACCTTTGACCCTGCATCGTTCGGGCTGGATGCGGTAAGTTGCTGCGTTGGGAGTGTATACGACAGGATGCTGACGGGTGTTTTAGCCGCTTGACTTTGGGAACCTGTTTGACATGGCGGACTTCGGGGTGTCGGAGCTGTGGGACCGCGATTTCTTTGCCAGCTTTTAGTTCTGGGGTGCTGGCATTCAAGAGCGCGGGTTCGGGGCAGTATACCTAACACTAATAATGACACTCTTGATCAGCTTAAGCTTATGATGGATATCGGGAGTACCACAACCTCTCATCTCAATGAACACATATACCATATGGCGCTAAGCATTACCCATTGCCAATTTTGACTTACTAGCTGCATGTAGGCTGTAAAGGCAACACCCACCCTCTCACCACAGCGAAGTCGAGGGTTACTCCTACCAACTCAGCCGCTAGAAACAAAAATGAATCATATATTTTCCGCCAAAGTACGTATATACACCCCTCCCCCCTCACCCACCTCCACCCCCAAAAAATCCCCTCAGAATCTCTAATTCTTCAACCCCTCCACCAGCTCCTGCACACTCTTCATCTCCTTATCATTATTCTCCCCCACATCCAGCGCCACCAACACGCGACTCACACAATTATACCCAGCCACGCCGGTCGTCAACTCCACGACCTCGCGATCACTCAACCCCGCGCCGCCGGCCGCTTGCTCGCTCCGCAGCGCCGCAAACGTCCCCTCCCTTACCGCCACCCGCACCGTCATCTCATCCGCATACTTCACCACCGCCTGCTGCCGTCCACTCAGCGCACTCGCCCGGAGCTTCTCCCCGGGCGTCTCCTCCTCCGCCGTGGAGGCCAGTTCCCGGACGGCCTGCAGCTCCGCCGCCTGCACCCCGCCCTTCAGCGCCAGCGGCGCGTGGGCGTTCCACTCGTATACCGCGCCCGTCAGCACCGCCACCCGGCACACGGCCAGCTCCAGCAGCCCCGGGTCGATCACGGTTTCCGTGCGGATCGCCCCCAGGAAGCTGTTCCAGCCGTCCGCGACGGGCGGGGCGTGCAGCAGGGAGAGGTCGAGGGGGATGAGTGGGCGTGGGGCGCGGCGCGCGGCGATCCGCGCGTAGATTTCGCTGACTTTGGCGGCGGAGGTGGTTGGTGGAGTGGTGGGGGCGTAGGGGAGGCGCATTTTGGAATTTCCTGTTAAGGGGGTTAGGTTGCGGGATGGGATTAGGGAGAGGGGTCCGTACTGTTTGCTTGGGGAGGTTGTTGTTTGTGTTTGTAGGTAGGGTAGGGGCTTGGTGTTGATGCTGGTGTTGCGGAGGGTAATTCAGTTGACAGTAAAGTCCAAGTGCACGCAGGCGGATGGATAAGGGTAGCGCCGGGTGTTGTTATATGGCGGGGGGCTTGCATTTTCCAACCCGGAAACGCGGGTGATTGCGGGGGAGAGTGAAGTTGCCGCGCTAACCGGCTTGGGATGGGTGGGGGCATCGCCGGGTAGGATCAGGTGCCGGCGTTCGGCATGTGTACCCACTCGTTGCCGAGTGTTCGGCCCGATCTTTTACTGTCAATTATTTTTTGTGACATTTGCCTTCGCGTGACGGGTGTAGATTTGTTTGGAGGGGTAGGGGTAGGGGTAGGGCGGGTTTCCCCGGATTTTCTGCTGTCTATCGTATCTCCTTACGGTGCTTCGCGGTTGGACTAACGCTGCTGATTGTTACTGGCAGTACGTATAGTAAGGGTTGAATGGTTGGATGGTTATTTAAAACACGGATTCTATTGTAGAAGATCCGATTCAATTGGCTAGAACAAAATTCGAGGTATGCATCTCAAAAAGAAAACCACAATCGCTAATATTTATATACACAAGACATTTTGCACACATCCCTAAGATTACAACTTCTGGCCCTTGTTGAAGCGCTCGAAGGAGGAAACGGGAGGAGCCGAGTTGGGGTTGGGGTGGTGCTTCTTGAGCGCCATCGTGACGTTGTACTCCAGATCCAGGGTGGCCTTGGGGTCGTCGGTCTTGGGCTTGAACTCGACGATCAGGTCGTTCTTGACGGCGAACACGGAGTCGATGTCAAGGTAAGGGTCGGTGGAGGGGTAGAGCTGGTTGATGATGGTGGCGTAATCGGGGTGGGTGATCATGAGGTGGATGTGCGCGGGGCGGAAGGGGGAGCGGTCCATGAGGTTGAGGAGGACACCGGCGGGCCCGTCGGTGGGCAGCGAGTAGGCCGTGGGGTGGTAGCAGTACCAGAAGTACTCGCCGTTCTCGTTGGTGCGGAACTTGCCGCGGAGGTTGTTCTCGCTCTGCTCGGGGTCCTGGAAGTCGTACAACGCGTTGGCCGATGCCTGCCAGATGTCGAGCACGGCGCCCGCGATGGGCTTGCCCGTCTCCATGTCGGTAATGCGGCCGTGCATCCAGGTCACCTGGCCGTTGGGGAGGGGGTTCTGGATGATGCTGTCGCCGAGCTCACGGAATGGGGCGTTGGGAGACCAGAAGGGGCCGAGGATGACGTTGGAGGTGGGGGAGAGACCCTGCTCGGTGACGATCTTGTTGGCGATCTCGTCGACAAGGCTAGACAGGTCAGTTTGACTGCAGGGATGAATATGATACGTCGAAGACACTTACGACTCGAGACCGATAACGTCGCAGATACGGTGGCACTCGTTGCGGATGGGAGTGCTGATCTGGCCGATGGAGTTGATGAACTCAACACCCATCATCCACTCGGCGGGAGTGAGCTCGACCTCACGAGCGAAGTCGTGGATGTGCTTGATCAACGAGCCCAGGATCACACGAGCACGCTCGGGAGTCTTGGGGCCCATGGCGTTGACGACATAGGGAGTGAAGTTGGGATCCCAGCGAGGTTCGGCAGACATGGTGGCGGTTGTGTGAGGGGAGGAAGTTGTTCAAAGACAAACTGTGCGATGAGGATGGAGAGGATGGGGAGGAAGAGAATTGCAAGCTCAAAGTCTGGAGCACTCGAGGGGTCTATATACACGGTTCAGCCAGGCGTGGCAAGTCTGAATACGGACCGTGACGGCAAATCGTTCGGCTCGTTTGGGGATGTGGGGGGAAGCGCAACGGTAAAACCACTGTTCCCACATGCCGATGCTTTGGAGGATGGCCTGATCGTACAATTCAAGGTCGCATCTGTCGGATCGTCAGCCGAAAGACGGTAGGATCTTATCAAATTATCCCGAATTTAGTTCTTGGTGGGATATAGTGGTCAAGGGCACTATGGGGATAGCTAAAAATTGCAACTGTATGGGTAAAACGTTCGATGGGAGTGGTTGCTGCGATCGCGCGCTGGTGATCCCGGGGGAGCTCTTACCCGCTCGTACCCGCGGCTAAGACCTCAACTCGGCTGACTCAACTCTGCCCCCCGTGATCTTCTTCCCCGGAATTGTCAATCCCCCCCAGCTCGCCCGCGGTTCCTGGCCTCATCGTGATTGCTCGACTTTTGATTGGCCAATGGCCTTCCCGACCACAGATCCGACCCTCTCACGTGACTAGCTCCGAAGCATCTTGCCGTCCGGCACGTGCCAAACTTTCCAGAGCCGGATGCGGATAATGAGGCAAAAATTGTCCGCCAGCTGCCGGAGGGGTGCACAAAGACATCTGACCATACTCGCCTCAAGGAGTCGGCTTCTAATCATGGTAGTGAAGAGTACACACAGGGAAAGACAATTTCCATACGGATCAACTACTGCAATGCGCTGACACAGTCAAAAGTGTTTCGACTCGATTCGATGAAATACAACCAAACACAAGACATAGCTTGCGACAGCTCATAAACCACATTGACAAGCAATAAAATTAGACTTGGACTTTCATTATTATCTATCTATGTACTTTACACGCATTCAGCATTCCTAGTCATACCAAATGGCGTTCATGCCGAATCCCATCTCAGGGATATCAACCCGAGCCACGCGAGCAAGGTTCTCGTCGCGGAAGCGGTAGATCTCGACGAAACCAAGCTGGTCGTCACACAGAGCAAGCCATTCGTCACTGAAGTCGCATGGGCTGACTGCGTTGGAGTGTCCGCCGCTGGTAGATGTGGGGTGAATGAACAGCTGGCGCTCGATTTCTCCGCTGGGACCCAGCTTGAAGGCTGTGATGTACCCCGTGATATCGAAGGAGTTACCGCGGGTGGTTGCGAACAGATATTTGCCGCTCTTAGTGGTGAAAGTCACGTCACCACGGTACTTGTTCCGGGGGGGAAGACCTAGGTCAGATTAGTATCGATCGCAGAAAGCCGCTATCACAATATAATCGAGACTCGGGGGGTTCGGGGTGGTTCAGACTTACCACCGGGAAGCAACGGGTAGGTGATGTGGGTGAAGACTGGCTTGTGGGTACGCTCGTCGATAACGTACACGCCAAGTCGGTTACCCGCCTCCATCAACACATAGAGGTATTTACCACTGGGGTGCATTTCAACCCAGCGGGGATGGTCACCCGGCGCGGGCGCCTCGAGGCAGTCAACCAGCTCCAGCTGTCCCGTGGTAGCATCCTTCTTGTGTGTCCAGATCTTGTTGGCTTGCAGATCGGCCGAGTACAGATATGTCTCCGTGGGATCGAAGACCATGCCGTGGATGCCGGTGTTCGGCTCATACTCGTAGTTCTGGATGTTCTCGCGCAGACTGCCATCCTCGTTGGTGGAGAAGACATTGCCGTAGCCGGCGTACTTGTAGAAGGGGTTGCCGTACACGTTGTAGGGGGGCTTGTGCGCGGCGAGCACGAAGATTGCACGGGTGTTGGTATCGGCGCTGGCAGCCAATTCTGCGAGGGGAAATCAGATTTCGCAAGCTTGGACGCAGCAGAGCAACGGTGCCTTACCATGACCAGCCACGGGGTGGGAGGCTTGATGGACAATGTCGGTAGGGCTGTTCACAGCAAAGCTGTTCCACTTCTTCATGGCAGCGCCATAGATAGCTTTTTTGTCGTGCTTTCAAGACAGACTTAGTTTCCGAGCCAAAACACCTTGATAGTAAGCAAAAACATGCTTACCGAGAAAGTCATCCAAGAGATAGGCTCCGCCTCTGGGATGTCGGTCTTCTTGACCAAGTCCAGGGTCAAGGCTTCGTCATCGAATGCGACCGTGTAGATGCGTCCTGGAGGGGTCCAGGTACCGACCATGAGATGGTGCTTCATTTTCGTAGGTGGGGTTGCGGTAAAGAGGGAAGCGGAGAATCGATATGTCGGAGTATGACAGAATTGAGCACTGAAAGAACCAGCAGAGCTCGTGAGAAGGGCAGACGATGCTGAAACAGAGGGTGCTCGAATTGATGACCAGAGACGGAGCATTATAGAACCATCACTTCTGAGACTCGAAGGAGGGGGAAGAGTATTTCCTAGCGCTGGTTCGGCAGGGAAAAAGTCGAGGCACCGCCGACTCGGGATCTGGAGACAGCCGAAGCCAGACTAGAGCAATGAATGCGGGGAGCGGCAAAAGATTACGGCACCTTGAGTGCATTTGTGCCTCAGGCATTCGAGTGGAATCTCAAGGCTCAGACATTAGCCTGAGCACTAGCTTAGCACTTAACATGGCTAGCTTCGGCCTCAACTAGCACCAGCATTAGCCTGTCCACCGCTACTACCTAGTACTCCGTACCATGGCCCTATTACCCATCAGGCAAGGCGGACTGAGCTTCTCCAACACATCATTAGTGACGCAGACTGTTTCAAATGTCGACTGGAACAGGGTCCTCAAGGACTGCAGATCTCCGAGCGAAAAAAAGGGGGAGAAGGGGCAAAGGGTGCACAGATATACAGTTGGAGGCGATAGAGCTCCCCATGTAACGGGTACATGCATGTGGGAGGAGGAGCTGTGGCACGTAACCAACATCCTAATCAGGATAACAACAAATGCCTCCTCCAGGTTTTCGGGAGGGATGGCGGAGTGATGGACATTTAGACACGGAGTAGAAAATTCCAGTGGCTGCCCCAGGCCAATCAGGCTGCAGCGGGCAGCGCAAAGGCGGGGTTCCCTTCCCCGACTAACGCCATTCATGATCTCACCTTCCCTGCTTCCATCCAACTGATTGTACTGATTGTTATACAGCCTTGGTCTTAACTCCAACTGATCGCTGCCCTTTCATCAGACCTACGACATCAGTGCGAAGACATGGCAGCCCAGACCAGCTCCAGCTCCGACGGTTTGTGCCTTTTATTTCCGTCCCTCTTCCCAAGCTCCGACCGACCTTTCACATCACCCCTCGTCTGCTACCTCCAGCCAGCTTGCTTGCCTCTGGCGTTTCCACTAATTCCATTTGCATATCTCTTCTCCTAAGTAACGTACTTAATAACCTTATTTGCTAATCGCTCCAATGTCGACCTCTGTAGCTACCGCGACCTCGGAACTCCAATCCTCTCTTCGTGAGCTCGCTCTCACCACCAAAAGTCCCGTGAAAGACATCGCCCGCCCGTCATTACTCCCCCACTCGGCCCTCAAGAAGAAGAAGAAAGCTGCCCCCGTGGCAGACTCTTGGGAAGATGAGGTAGACGAGAGCGCCTCCGAGCCGGACGAGCCGGACAACAACCCCGTGCTATCGCCGTCAATCCGCGCCTCCGAAGACCCTCTCGACCCTCCCCCTACCCCGCTCTCTCCGCAAACAACCTTGAACCAACCATGGCCTTCCTACGGCAACTCCGGCTCCATGCCCCGATCATCAGACTCCAAATCCCCAGTGTCGGGCCGACGACCCGAGAAGCAGACGGCGGTAGCGAACCGAATGATTGCAGGCGCATTGGGTATTCGAGCCCCGAAGCGCACGGAAGAGCAGCGGGCATATGACCGAGCGGTGAAAGAGCAAGAGATCAAGAGGAGAAATAAAGAGCGCGAGGAAGCCGCCAAGGCGAAGGAGGATGAGGAACGGGCGAAGGCGGCTGTATGGGATGCATGATTGCTTTCAAGACTCCAACTCTGTCAATATAGGGCGTTTGCATTTGATGTATTTTGATAACACTCACTACGCTAATCAGAACCCCCTTATCCTAGTTTGTTGACTTGCTCTTCGTCGCCGATGCAGCTTTACGTGGAGGCTCCCTCTGGAATGCTGGCCCTGGGATGCGGAAGAGTGTCTCTGGAGATTGGAACGAGGGAAGGTAATGCTATAGCAGATGTACTCATATATTCCTGACTTATAGCGGGACACGGCTTTTATGTTGTGTCTCCCCTTGGTTGTTGGGAGTTTCGCAACAGAAGCTCAGGTAAACATAGAGTACTGTACATAGTGACTGGGCTCGCGCACAGTGCCCAACATGAAATGCAGATCACAGGATGATCAAGTAGCTGTTAGGACGGTCAGACCGCAGTGTCGGACTACTGTGCTTCCATATCAAGGTACTGTATTAGAGAATGAATCTGCCCCTTGATGTACTGTCCCCTTCCTGAGTACAAACTTGACAACCCACCGACATTTTCGAGTACTATAAAAACACCATAAAATACAGATAGACGTGTCGAATCTATTAACGAGTGCTTAAGGCAGATGGGATTAGTGCATAGTCTCCTCAAAAACCTGATAAAACATGTTGATTGGAAATTGAGAAGATATTTGTACACTGGGATTGCAATATCCGTGGACAGGGAGAATAGGTCATTCACACTTTCTTCCTGTGTTTCTCTAGATGTGAATGTAGCGTATAAGGAAGGGATTGCCCTTCCATTATCCGAGTAACACGGGCAAAGCGAGGCAAGCACCCTGGTCTGAGCTGGTGCCTGGAGTATCAATTCAATCCTAATTCACTGCTGTGTTTCTGCTCTAGGACTATCTACCAATTGAGCATACAACTCTCCACCTCTCCTGCACGCCTGAGTACGCTTCTTCGTCCACCAACACCAGAGCACGAAGTTCAAACAGTCTGATCGCACTTTAAACTTCCTCAAATCTGTTCATAAGCAACCTCAAGCTACTCATTTCGACCTCAAGATGGAGCAGAAAGGTCAGTCACCTGTACAATTGAGTAAGAAAAGGGTATACTGACTTTGCCATGGAAAAAGCTACCGAGCCCGATAAAGCCTCCAAGTCATACGATCGTTGCACTCAGGAGCAGACTCGCTATCGCTGCGGACATACAGCACCTGGCGAGTTCGTCAAATGTGTCAAACATATCGCCAAGCCAGAGCTGCGGTGCAACAGCAAGGAGATTGATCATATTGATACCAAGGAAACTTTGCACATGTGTCGCAAGTGTTTGAAGAGCGCTTAAGAAGAATGGAATTTGACGCGTAAGTCTCTATCTTGCCTCATTGAGATCTGCAGAACGGGCTCTGATCAGATTCTCAGGTTCGAACAATCATGTCACGGGGCCTATTTTCTGCCAACGCCTGATTTATCTCTCAATTTGGCCTCGAGACCATCAAGCTCTTTCTGAGATGCCGTCGGATCGACGGTCTCTAGTGCAACTGAGGCTTCAAAGTCGAGTATCTGGGCACCTTTCTCATTTATCAGGAAGTTGTACTTATTGATGTCTCCGTGGAGGATTCCGATGGCATGCAGTAGGCGGATAGAGCTTCTGCATTCTTCCAGATCCTGTATGTCCGGCGGATAGCCTGAAATCATCTCCATGAGGAAGCCGATTGTACGATCCTTGGTTCCCTCGTAGACGTATCCAATAAAGCGGGGGGCGAGTAGAAAGCCAGCGGACGATAGGATGGAATAGATGGATACCTCCTGCTGCAGATAGCGGACCTCATGTTTGAATCGCGCTATCTTCATAACCCATATCTCGTTGTTGTCGTCAGCACGTACACAGGAGAGACGATCACCGATTCTCGACACTTTTGTAAGGCTTGAAAGATTGTAGAACTTGGCGGTCGAAATGTCAAGCTTTGCCAGGTTCAATCCGTGTGGCTTGAATTCTTCTAGCGTGCTTTCGAGGCCATGAGTTCCGTTTCGCACTGTGAGTGTTGTCCATTCTTCCTCCCAGCGTGGGACCCTTCGTAGGTACAGAAGAATCCGATAGCTATCAGTCCTATAACCTGGAGGTATGATGCCTTCACCGAGGACCCAAACGTAGACAACCCGATTCTTCTTTCGCACCCGATAGAGGAAGTCATTCTCCTCGAGGTCTAGAGACAGTACTTGCTCCTATACTCCTTAGCAACAAGTTCGACGATGATGATGCACGATAGGCGAACTCACGTCCTGGCACGCTGTCAAAATGGGCTGGGGAGGAGGACTGGTCGAGTCGGTGTCGCTGGAGTCGCTAACATTGGACGACATGATAGGCTAGATTCGACACAGTTCTAGAATAGATCAACTGATAAGGTGGCTGAGGTGGGGGTGTTGACGATAAGGAATGAGCTATCGTAACCATGAGGTGAAAACCAGTACTAGCTATATGTGGTTAGTAGCAGGCGACATAGCTGATGTAATCATTTGTTTCACTTGCACAAGTGCTGACATCATTCCTCGAGCCAGTCGTCGGGTGAGCCAACTTGATGACAGAGGAAGACCAGACGCACCAAACTGCCCAGTGCCAGGTGGCTGGCTGCTTCCTAACATTCCCGAGGTTGTGGCACTGACCTCTAGTCCCAGGCTCCCAGCCGTGGTGCTGCAGGAACTAATTTAGTTTGCAGGCGCATGCAATTTGTATTCTGCATCAATCTGGCTAAATTAGTGCCTGGAAATCTCACTTTTCCAATGACTGGCAAATTGCTCGAGGAGATCGCGTCCGGTTCCACTCAGACCATTGCTTTGCAACCGACTAGACCCGCCGATCGGAGGCCCATGCCAGCCTCTATGTGGGGAAGGAAGTCCATCGGCTCCAGTCAACTCATCCGAACCCCCCTGGTACTGGAGACTACCTAACCACTAAATGTCACTAGCAGACGCCGTCTGCCAGTGAGCATGGAAAAGCTGAAGTTTGAGGCAAGACAAAATGGCCTCGACATCCACGGGTACGTGGGTACGCCGCTGCTTGGCAAACCTTAATACATTTCATCTCCCCGTCTCCTGCCTCGCCCTTCCGTCCCCGGGAAGTTCAAGCTCTGACCCCTCAAATAACGGGGGGGGGCCGCCTCTCCAGCCCTGTCGCTCCTTTTCATCATCTTCCATTCTTCCTACCCCCCCCCCCCCCCCTAGTGAAGCTGCTTGCTCATCATCCAGAGCAGTCGGCAATGGCAGGCAAGCAGCAATCCCCAACGGCCTCGTCCGCCACTTCGAGTGCGGATGGGCTGGCCGATCCCGGAGATTCACAATTACTTGGTGAGTAACTCGCCTCCTAATTATGAATTATGCCGATAGCAATCGGCTCACAATGCCTCAGCCACCCTCGGATACAAACAGGAACTTCGTCGACAATACTCTACGGTTCAAATCTTCGCTGTCGCATTTAGCATTATGGGACTGGTGCCCTCGATTGCATCCACTCTTGCCTTCAACTTACCAGCCGGTCCCGCGGCAATGACATGGGTAATTACACCCAACTCGAGAGACATGCTACTTGCAGGATCAGATTCGCTAAATTATCCCAGGGTTGGCTCATTGCCAGTCTCTTCATTTTTTGCGTAGGATTAGCATTAGTATGAATCCCCGTGATCACATTGTGGCTGGGAGCGCAGCTAACACTTCCATCTTGCTCCAGGCCGATATGTCGTCAGCTATGCCCACAGCCGGTGGGCTCTATTGGTGGACTCATTACTTCGCAGGCCCCAAGTATAAGAATGCGCTGAGCTTTCTGGTGGGATACAGCAACACCATGGGGCTAGTCGGGGGAATGTGCTCGGTGGACTGTGAGCAAATATGGGTTAACCATGAGTCGAGACATGTGCTTACAGGACGACAGACACACTTACGCTTATGATTCTTGCCTGCGTATCTATAGCACGCGACGGTGCGTGGTCAGCCTCGAACGGTGTCATCTACGGTGTATATGTTGGCCTCATTCTTCTTCACGCCTTATGCGGCATTTACACCGGCCCTATCATGCCTCGGATCCAAACATTTTGCATTTTCATCAACATCGCCATTATCATCGCCACTGTCATTGCTCTGCCGGTGGGCAAGGTCACCAACGGTGGAACCCTCAACCCTGGCAGCTGGGTCTACGGACATGTGGATAATCTGACGACCTGGCCGAAGGGATGGGCCTTCATCCTCGCTTTTCTGGCCCCGATTTGGTCCATCGGATTTTTTGACTCTTGCGTGCACATGAGTGAAGAAGCTTTGCATGCTGCGAAGGCCGTGCCCCTCGGAATCGTCTGGTCATCGGGATGTGCATGCGTGCTGGGGTTCTTGGTGCTGAGTATCATTGCCGCCGTGATGGACCAGGATATTAGCACGACATACGATTCGGTATACGGACAGCCCATGGCGCAGGTCTATTTCACGGCGCTTGGCAAGAAAGGAGCCTTGGGATTCATGGGAGTGCTGATAGTGATTCAATTCTTGATTGGACTAAGCTTGGTACGTCAGGACGAAGGCTGAGCTTGATGTGTGTCTTCCTAACAATAGACATAGATCGTCGCCGCTTCTCGACAGACCTGGGCGTTCTCCCGAGACGGTGCCTTGCCATTTTCAAATTACTTTCGCCATGTGAGCAAGCGCATTCAGTATCAGCCGGTACGGGCGATGTGCGGCTTCGTAGCTGTCTGCATTGTCTTCGGTCTACTATGTTTGATCAATTCCGTCGCCGCCAACGCGCTTTTCTCGCTCTTCGTGGCCAGCAACTACGTTGCCTGGGGTACCCCGATTCTTTGCCGGTTGATCTGGGGTAAGGAGCGGTTTCGTCCGGGAGAGTTCTACACCGGGTGGTTCAGTCGACCGATCGCAACCGTGGCCGTGGTGTGGTTGATCTTTGGTTTGATCTTGTCGATGTTCCCTAGCACAGGCCCGAATCCGAGCCGTAAGTGTTTGCTTTTTTCCAATTGGGCTTATTGGCTAATGATGATAATATAGCATCGGATATGAATTACACGATTGTGCTTAACGGCTTCGTCTGGGTCGCATGCATGACTTACTACTTTTTGTTTGCTCGCAAGTGGTATACTGGACCCAAGATGACCGTTGACGGGGGTGACTCTCGAGTCGAGAACGACGAGAGCCGGCCAGGAAGTAAAGACCCTCCTTCTGCCTAGGATTTGATCTGATATATAGAGTTCTGATCTTTAAACCACGAAGGATAGATAAGACATAGATTTGGACAAATAGACATTTCTATATGAAGTTTTCAATATCTTTTTCAGCTTGTGCTCTCACGTACTACATTCTCTATATCATCCAATTTCCATAATAAGCGGGGGTGCTTTGCTACAGCAAATTGACAGTGCTGGCGGGGACTTGCGTATCTGCTTGGTTTTACAAAGTATATATCCGTGCGGAAATAACGCGGCCACCAACACTTAGAACTCTGGCTCATCGTTACCTATACAGTGTCATCTACCTTCTCAGTCCACATGAGACTAATTATCTCGACTCTATGAGCGCTATAACAGATATCACTTACATTTGACACACTGCGACTTGACTGGGTAGACGAAACCCCATGTATGCCTGAGGCAGGAATTAATCACCTCCATGCTGACTCATCTCCTAAACTGGGCTATCGGACTAATTACGTATCGCGCGTTTCGAGGATGCATGTTTAGTTATAGACAACCTCTAACGACTAACAGAAAATCTCCCCTCCAATTCAAGTAACCATGCTCTCCAGGACCTTCTTCGCGAGAGCCGGAGCCATCCAGCGCTCAGCCGGCCTCGCGCGCCTGTTCTCCTCCACCACGCAGCGGATGGACCCCGATCTGTCCTACCAAGTCTTCAAGCCCGAGAAGGACGAAGTCAGCCGGGACCCGATCATCTTTCTGCACGGCCTGTTCGGCTCGAAACAGAACAACCGAAGCATAAGCCGGTAAGCCCACCCTTCATGTGATGTGGTAGCGGATAATTGACGACGAGCACGCAGCGCATTGGCCCGCGACCTCAAATGCGAAATCTTCACCGTGGTATGTATGCATACCCTGCTTATCTCGAGTCGCGTTGGGTTTTATGCCGTCTAGACGGTCTGAAGCCACTATTGTTCTGATGTTCTTGATGGTTGTTGCTAGGACCTCCGAAACCACGGTCACTCGTTCCACGCCGAGGAGCACAATTACTCCGTGATGGCGGAGGATGTGGTCCGGTTCATGCAGCAGCTGAAGCTGGAGAAGGCCGCGCTGATCGGGCATTCGATGTATGAGATCACCCCCCCGCGCACCCCCCCTTTGCCAGCTGCCACACTCTCGCGAGTTGTTGTACTGGAGAAAAAGAACTGACCCCCTGGTCGGGTATACAAAAGGGGCGCCAAAGCCGCCATGACCGTGGCCCTCGAATCCCCGCGCCTCGTCTCGGCGCTGGTCCCCGTGGACAACGCCCCGCGCAACGCGCCCCTCAAGAGCGACTTCGGCAAGTACGTCCGCGGCATGCAGGAAGTCGAAGCCGCCCGGGTCACCAAGCAGTCCGACGCCGACAAGATCCTGAAGGAGTATGAGGAGGTATGCTATGCTATGCCACGCCTACCCTCCCTGAACCTTTCCCCAACATGCACCCCGCACCCCCCCAACCCCTTTGCCCTGCTGCCCCCACGATGCAAGCAAGAGCTGATAACGACCAAAAAAAAAGTCCCTCCCCATCCGCCAATTCCTCCTCACGAATCTCATCCGCTCCGAGGCGGACCAGACCATGAAATTCCGCGTCCCGCTCGCCGTCCTCGGCGAGTCGCTGGTCGACATGGCCGACTTCCCGTACGCGGAGGGAGACAAGCGGTACGACGGCCCGACGCTGTTCGTCCGCGGTACCCGTAGTCGCTACGTCACGGACGATGCGGTCCCCGCGATCAAGGCGTTCTTCCCGCAGGCGCAGATCGCGGACGTGGAGGCGGGGCATTGGTTGATCTCGGAGAATCCGGAGGCGTTTCGGCTTGGTATGTTTGTCCCTTTCCTTAGTGCGGGAGAGGGCTTGGTGTGCTAACGTTTGTGCTTTAGCGGTGGTTAAGTTCTTTAAGGGATTGGATTAGGTTTCAGAGCTGAAGAGGTTGGGGGATGGGGGTGTATATAGGTATGTTTGGGGTTGGGGTGGATTCGTGCGCGTGATAGAGCTAGAGCTGAGCTAGAGCTAAAGGTCGGTTGGTTGCATATATAAAGGATCTCTTTCTTCAACGCGTTTCAATAGAATGGTATCATCATCATTGTTTGTTCCTCGGTAAATAAACATGCAGGAGGCGATAAACAGTAGGAAATTGTATATAACACAGGAAGAAAATCTTGCTTTTGGTCTTGCAAAAGAGAAATTCGCCAAACACAAAAATAAGAAACCGAACCAGACCCCATGCTCACCCTGACAAGAAAGACCAAATTACAATCCTGTAGGATGGAGGGGGAGCTAATAAGACATAATCGTAGAAGATGGGGGGGGGGGGGGTAGTTAGGATAAATGTTACAGCCCACGGCGTGGTGTTTAGTCGAGGGCATCGGTGATACAGCCGTGGCTGGCGTCCTTGACCAGTCTGAAGAAGGGTTGTTAGTGGGGAGTCCCAAGTTAATGGAGTGTTTCAGGGCAAGATATACGTACCTAGCGTACTTGCCAAGAGTTCCGCGGAGGGTCAGACCTGTAGGAGGCAACTTGCCGGCAGTCTTATCAGCCTCCCACTGCTGTCTTCTCGAGGCCAGCTCTGTCTCGTCGACATCAAGATCGAGGACACGCTTCTCAGCGTCGATGGTGATCACATCGCCGTCCTTGACCAGACCGATGGGACCGCCGACGGCGGCCTCGGGGACGATGTGGCCGATGAGGAATCCGTGGGAACCGCCGGAGAAGCGTCCGTCGGTGATCAGGGCGCAGGAGTTACCGAGACCGGCTCCCATCAGGGCGGAAGAGGGCTTCAGCATTTCTAGAGGAGATATGTTATTAGCGAGGTCCCGAGGACGTTCAAGAAGAAATACTGGTCGTAGTCACTTACCAGGCATGCCGGGGCCTCCCTTGGGACCGCAGTAGCGGATGACAACAACGGTCTTATCCTCCTTCTTGATCTCATTGCGCTCGAGGGCGGCAATGAAGTCGTCCTCCTCATCGAAGACGCGCGCCTTACCGGTGAAGACGAGACCCTCCTTACCGGTGATCTTGCCAACACTGCCACCAGGGGCCAGAGAACCCTTCAAGATCTGGATGTGACCGGTGGGCTTGATGGGGTTGGACAAGGGACGGATGATCTTCTGGTCCTCGGGGAAGTCGGGAACCTTCTCCAAGTTCTTGGCCAGGGTCTGACCGGTAACAGTCATACCGGAACCATCAATGATACCCTCCTTGAGCAGGAACTTCAGCAGGGAAGGAGTACCACCAATGTTGTGCAGATCGGCCATGACGTACTTGCCAGAAGGCTTCAAGTCGGCCAGGAAGGGTGTGCGGTCGGAAACAGCCTGGAAATCCTCGATGTCGAGCTTGATGCCGACGGAGTCCGCGATGGCGATCAAGTGAAGAACAGCGTTGGTGGAACCACCGGTGATGTTGACGACAATCATGGCGTTCTCGAAAGCCTGGCGGGTCAGGATGTCGCGGGGGCGGATGTCCTCCTTGAGAAGGGTCTTGATGGCCTCACCGGCTGCGAGACACTCAAGGTACTTGGCCTGGGACTCGGCAGGGTTGGAAGAGGAACCGGTCAGGGTCATACCCATAACTTCGATGGCGGTGGCCATGGTGTTGGCAGTGTACATACCACCGCAAGCACCGCCACCAGGGCAGGCGTTGCGGATGATGTCAAAGCGCTCGGGCTCGGTGATCTCCTTGCTCAAGAACTGTCCGTAGGCCTGGAAGGCGGAGACAATGTCGATATCCGCGTTGTTCTGCATCGAGGCGCAACCGGGCTTGATGGTACCTCCGTAGACCATCAAACTGGGCCGGTTGACTCTGCCCATCGCCATCAACACACCAGGCATGTTCTTGTCACAGCCGGGAATGCTGATGTTGGCGTCATACCACTGACCGCCCATGACCGTCTCGATGGAATCCGCAATCAGGTCACGGCTCTGCAGGGAGAAGCGCATACCCTTGGTACCCATACTGATGCCGTCACTGACACCGACGGTGTTGAATTGGAACCCGACCAGTCCGGCCTTCTGGACACCCTCACGGACGCGGTTGTTCAGGTCCATCAGGTGCATGTTGCAGGGGTTACCGTTGTACCACACGGACGAAATTCCAACCTGAGCCTTGTTCATGTCCGCCTCGCTGAGACCAGTGGCGTACAACATCGCCTGGGAGGCACCCTGCGAGATGGGCTGGGTGATATGGCGGGAGACCTTGTTGAGGCCGGCATCCTTGTCGTCGGCATTCTGGTGTCTAGGAAGGGTGGTAGACAGCGAGCGGCTATATATGGCAAAGGCATAGGTCAGAATGTGTCAAGAACCATGCAAAGAGCTAAACAACAATGGAATCACTGACCTGTTCAAAGAGCGCTGGCTGAGGCTCCGGAGAGCGGCGGGCATACGCCCGCGGGTCTGTGAGAGAAGCATTGCCGGATCGAGAGCACGCAACTCACGGGATTTCAATCGGAAGCTTGATTGAGAGGAGAAGGGTCGGATAAGGGGTAAGAGAGAAGTTTAGAAACCCTGGGCCATAACACAAACAGGAATAATATAAGGGAGCATCCGGAGGTCAAGCAGAGAGTCACACACAGCTGGGAAAAATGGGCCGGGGGTGCCTCCGCAGCGAAGTCGGGGCCGGAGTTGGACAGATTCTCCCCGCCACCCAATCCTTGTCCATTGTTTGTCATCCATTACCCAATCATCGGCCCGGCTGGGATGACTCAGGCCGGTCTCGACTGCTTTCCGTGGCAGTTTTCTGGGGAGCTCCCCCCAGCTAGCTGTTCTGGGCTTAGTGTTCCGGTGTCTCAGTTCCACCGCTTCCGACACTGCTAGGTCACGGTACGCTTGCCTCAAATAGGCCGAGGTTCTTGCCGCCTTAGTAGCTTGCTGTAGAACAGAAGCTTGTTGTTGTGATACTTACCTGTCTTTCCTGGTATACTTCTGGTGTTGTATGCTCACTCAAAAAATCACAATACCCTCAGGGCTCAGCATGAGTCTATCTCATGCTAGCACTACCATATCATCTCATACTGTTGCTGGAATATACACATTGCCTTGCTCCCGCACAAGGTGAAGCTCCCGTGCGACAAACAATATACGATGCTTACAGCCAGCGTCGAGTATATTGAGCCAATCTGACAAGCTAGTACTACATGCGACATGCATACAATATATCTGTCTGTGATCGACCACGGAAACCTGTCAGTAGGGTCATGTGGAATTAATGGCGAGCTCAAGTGTTACACTGTGCGCCGTCGTCTGGCAGAAGGACAATGATAGCCTCCCACCTGATCGAAGCGGATCTTGTGAGCTCTTAATTAATCAAAGGCTCTCTCTGAGAGCTAGCCTAGTCCTTTCTTGAATGTTGTTGTGGCCAAAGTAACTACTGGAAGCATTACTGCCTTCCTTGATATCGCAAGCAAGGGAACGCGGCAGGAATGCAGGTGGTATGCAAGCTCTGCAGCACCCTTGCCATTAGACTATCCAGGAACCGACTTCTACGCGTCTACACTGGTCTGTCTTCTTCTACTCTGTTGCACCTATCCCCTCACCTTTGTCGACAAATCGCACCTACCGAGGCGCTGAGGTTTCATGCGGGATGACATTCAGTCGCGACATGGCGTCCATTGTGATTGACGCCTTGAGTCTTTCGCTAATAACCGCTTGTACGGCACCAGCACTGCTCACGATAACCCGTCGCTTTCGAGAACCGAAGATCGATTGTGCATCCGATTCACCAGACACACCTGAGACGCCACTCTTCGGTTTGTCGAGTTTTGAAGATCAGGACGGAACAGCCACGCGAGAGTCACTGGAAGCATTCTCAGCTTCGTGGCAGCGAGTCGCTATAGTACTATTATCGGTCGTTGGGTTTGGAGTATCATTGTCACAGGCTATCATCTCGATCGAATTGGGCCAACGCCAATATGTTATTCCCTTCTGGCTGCAAATGGGAGGATGGGTACGTCCTCAACCGCTATCAGCGCACCCATTGACCTCACTAGCATAGCTCTGGTCTGTTCTAACAGTCGATAGATGGTACTTTGTCTACAAGCCGCGAGCTTCTTCCTCGAATCGGCACCCGTCAAACGTTATATTTTCGGGATGTACGCGTCTGCGGCTAGCTGTGTTATGATAATGATGCCATGCGTGGATCTCGGGCTTCTCCGGCGCTCTGGAGAATTTGATAAACTTGGCCGGTTGTCCACGAGTCTCATGACGAGCCAGATTGGCATTGCCTGTCTACGAGGCTTCTTCTGCATCTTGATACCCAGACGTCCTAACGTATATCACCAAGGACAGGTGGTAGACCAAGAAAAGAGCGTGAGCATCTTTGGCAGAATAACGTTCAGCTGGGTCAACGGTCTCTTGGAATTTGTGGCGACGAAGAAGACTTTGGAACTTGACGACCTCCCAAAATTACCCTTAAACGCTCGCGCCCAAACTCTCCATACACGGCTTGAAAGAATGCGCAGCTCTCGGGAGCTGTGGAAGGCGCTCATACTGGGACATGTCCGGCCTCTTATGCTACAAGGCACGCTAAGCATAATTCAATGTCTGCTTGGATTTGGACCTCAGGTAGCTCTGTTTGGGATACTGAAGTCACTCGAGGATCGCTATTCTTCTCCGAGTGACGCAAACCCAACATGGGTCTGGGTTCTTGGGCTGGGAGTAGTTCTTGTTCTGTCTTCTAGCATTGAATCCTGGTTATGGTGGATTATTTATTCCCAGTTATGGATTCCGATTTATGAAGGAATCTCAGCTCTAGTGTTTGCCAAATCATTGAGGTGCAAGGACGTGAAGCAGCTAAGCCACTACAGTGAAGCAGACGAAAACGATAATGACGGCGAAGAGATAGAAGAGTTGGAGCAACAAGGAAGCCGCCAAACTGTTATCAATCTGGCAACCGTGGACTCCAAGCGCATCGCTGACTTTGTCATGTATAACTACCTGATCCCGTCCTGCATTCTTCGACTGGTCATTGCGTCTGCCTTTCTGGTTCAGTTGATCGGCTGGAGAAGTTTACTGGCTGGTGGTTTCGCGGCAATTCTGGTGACACCGATGAACACTCACTTGACCAAGAAATATTCGGCAGCGCAGAAAGATTTCATGAACGCTAGCGACAAGCGAATGAGTGCAGTGGCGGAAGTTCTGCATGGGATACGACAAATCAAGTTTTCGGCTCTGGAACAGCAATGGCAGGATCGAGTGTCAGAAAAACGCCGTATCGAGCTCAAATACCTATGGAAGACGTCCCTATACACCACTGGAATGGTCTCTGTCTGGATCATGGGACCGCTCTTGTTGTCTGCAGTGTCGTTGACCGTGTACGCGCTGACCCATGGCGAATTGTCTGCGTCAGTAGCATTTACAGCTCTTTCTGTCTTTGGATCCTTAGAATCTGCCTTGGCGAGCTTGCCTGATCTAATGTCCAAAGCAATGGAGGCTAAAATTAGTGCCTCTCGCATTGACCAATATTTGAACTCGGCAGAAAAAGCTCCCTATACATCCGATGTCGAAGAGATATCGTTCGATAACGCCACGATCGCATGGCCGGCACAGGATGACGAAGATGAGCAATCTGATTGGGACGATGAAGAGCGATTTTGTCTTCGCAACCTTAACCTTCGATTTCCGCGCAAAGGATTGAGTGTCATTGCTGGTAAGACTGGCTCCGGGAAGAGCTTGCTTTTGGCCTCAATCCTAGGGGAATGCGATGTCTTGGGGGGAATGGTGGCTGTTCCTCATAGCCCCCCGTCTGCTGAACGATTTGATGAGAGAGCAACACGTCATGACTGGATTATTGACACTGCTGTGGCTTATGTGGCCCAGAACCCATGGATGGAGAATGCAACAATCAAGGATAATATTCTTTTTGGCCTCCCTTACGATCGCTACCGATACCGCAAAGTCCTCCGTGCTGTTGCATTACAAAGGGATATAGATATGCTTCCGGATGGTGACTATACGGATATTGGTGCTAATGGAATCAATCTTAGCGGCGGGCAGCGGTGGCGTATATCATTCGCGCGCGCTCTATACTCGCGAGCAGGAATCCTGATCATGGATGATATTTTCAGCGCGCTTGATGCTGAAACAGGACGTCACCTTTATGAGCGTGCCCTGACAGGAGAACTTGGTCAGAATAGGACTCGGATTCTCGTCACTCACCATGTGGGCCTTTGCCTGCCTCGGACAGATTATTGTGTTCTCCTTGCGGATGGAATCATGATCCACGCCGGTACGAAGGAGGAGTTGGCCGCAGCCCAAAATCTGGTCGACTTTCTGGATCAGACTGCGGAAACAACAGTGCCTGAAACCCCGACAGAAGTGCAGGGACCCAAAGTCTTTTCGAAGCGCGTGTCCACGAACTCGCGAAAATCTACGAACTCGCGTCTCTCGACGGCTACTAGCATTCACACCCTCAGGAAATTCACTGAAGATGAGAAGCGTGAGAGGGGGGCTGTTTCTACCAAGGTCTACGTTGCGTATCTGACCAAAGGAAACTGTCTCCGTCTTTGGACAGTGGTCTTCCTGGCATACAGCGCTTTCATGGCTCTTCTAGTCGGTCGGGTATGGACATCTTTGATAACTCACAAAATGCTGGTTTTTGATAGCTAACGGTACTAGTCCTGGTGGGTCAGCGTCTGGACAAGTGCGTCCACCTCGTCGTCTGATCTCCCGCGTGTTCACGACCACACTAGTAACCAAGCTTGGACATTCGAAGCTGACGAGGATTTGATGTTCTATCTTACGGTGTATATTGGCTTCTCTGTCGCCGCATGTATAGTGGGCACAGTCCGCACCTTAGCTCTTGCCTTTGCCTCGCTCGAATCCTCCCGCCAACTGTTTAATGATCTACTGTACACTGTCCTGAGGTCTCCTCTGCGATGGCTGGATACTGTGCCTACTGGTCGCATTCTCAACCGATTCACATCTGACATCAACATTCTTGATTGGAGGCTCGGATACGACATCGGTCATCTTGTCTACAAAATCTTGGAGCTGGTAGGTATTCTCGCTGCTGGACTGTTAGTGTCCCCTCTTCTCTTGGTGTTCGCTTGTATTCTGCTAGCTCTGTGTTTTCAGCTGTCGAAGGTTTATCTGGTTGGCATGCGAGAGATCAAACGACTGGAGAGCACTTCAAAAAGCCCGGTTCTAGAGCGATTTGGATCTACCTTGGTCGGATTGGGGACCATTCGTGCATTTAACAAGACGGAGGTATACATCAAAGACATGTATGCTCGAATTGACCGACACGCACAAACCGCTTGGTACCTTTGGCTCCTGGATCGCTGGCTTGGTATTCGGATGAGTATTGCAGGCGCCCTTCTGTCAACGATTACAGCGGCGCTAGTCGTGTACATTCCCCACATCACACCTGCTCTGGCAGGGTTTGCAATGAGCTTCGCGCTACAGTATAACTACGCTGTGGCCATGGGGCTGCGCTTCTACGCGAATGTGGAGACAGACATGAACTCCACAGAGCGTGTGCTGGAATACTCTGGTATTGACATGGAAGACCAAGGTGGTGTAGAGCCACCTGCAGCTTGGCCAACTCGTGGAAGAGTCGAAGTGGAAGATCTGGTGGTGGGATACGCGCCCGAGTTACCTCCAGTGCTCAGTGGACTCAACTTCAGCCTGGAGCATAACCAACGCTTGGGAGTGGTAGGACGTACCGGGGCTGGGAAATCTTCGCTAACCTTGGCGTTGTTCCGTTTCTTAGAGGCTCGACGTGGTCGAATTTTTGTTGATGGCCTGGACATCTCTCAGATCAAATTGCAGGCTCTGCGGAGCCGTCTTGCTATCATCCCACAGGACCCCGTGCTCTTTTCGGGCACCTTGCGGTCAAACTTGGATCCATTCCACGAACACACTGACCTGGAGCTCTACAACGCGCTAGAGCGAGTACACCTAGTCTCCTTTGAGGATACCCTGACTCTGGCCTCACATTCCAGCCACGAGCCTTTCAGCGACAGCAGCACATTGCCATCCTCGTCTGCCTCTTCAACCACAGGCCCCCTCAAGACAGTGAATTTCTTTGCTTCCCTGTCATCGATGGTCTCTGAGGGTGGCCTCAACCTTTCCCAAGGGCAGAGACAGCTTCTCTGTCTTGCTCGAGCCATTGTCTCCCAACCAAAAATTATGGTCCTGGACGAGGCAACTTCCGCCGTTGATATGGAAACGGAGGCGTTGATTCAACGGTCAATCCGGGAGGAATTTGGACGAAATGCGACATCTCTTCTCGTCATCGCGCATCGCCTCAGCACCGTTGCCGATTTCGACAAAATCCTGGTTCTGGACGCGGGAAAGGCAGCCGAGTTCGGTACACCGCAGGAGTTGATGGCTATTGAGGGGGGTGTATTTCGAAATCTGGTGCAGAACAGTGGGGAGAGAGCAGTACTGGAAGAGATGATTTGGGGAACGCAGAGAAAAGGAGTATAATTTGATGGGATTTGTTCATTGGCGTGGCGTGATTCGATGTTGCAAGCTGTATATACTTCGTCTTGCTGTTGGAGAGTTCAACTAGAGCTTGGAGTTGATTACTGTACCCATTAGGCTTCCACCATATACCACCTCACCAACTTTCCATGTACAAAACCAACCAACCTCTATGAAGCAACAAACTCAGCAGCAGACCTCGCATACGAATCACGCCTAGGTTCAGGGAATAGATGCTCGCAAGAAAACTAGACCAAGTTAGCCACCCAACCATCTCTACTACAACAATCAGGAATAGTAAATTACCGCCCCGTCACAGTGCTGTCAATACTAGCCAATACTCGAATTCCAGCAGGTGGATGACAAATGCATTGAAACGCCAAGCGTGGAGCCTGCAGAACGGACCCTTGCGCTTCTGATTGGTTACATCACGACTTAAGGTGCAGACCGGTTTCCGGAATTTCTGATGGGCCGGGGGGCCGGTGGGCTTCTTTGCACGTAGTGGGAGGGTGGTGCGTCATGCTATATTTGACCTTGTTATACCAGAGCCTGGAGCCTAGAACGTGTACATGGAATGATCTAGCTTGGAGCATTGGTGGTGTGGTTTGCGGAGAATGACGCAGGTTGCAGGACAGATGGATAACACCCAATACCACATCGCAAAGAAGGATCCTACGCTGTACAGTACATACATTGGATATCTACAATCTCCCCCCCCCCCCCCCAGCCGGAGGTAGGCTAGAAAAAAATCACAAATACCGCAACAGCAACTTCTCGCCTCTCCGCGCCCGCCACCGGTTCGTACTGGCCAACAACTCCGCGCACCCGCGCACCACCCACGGCCACTTCCGCAGAAAGTCCTCGGTGATCTCCCAGTTCCCGGGGTCGGACGGCTCCCCCCACACGAGCAGACTGTACGTCTGCGTGGGCGAGTCCCAGAACCCCATGATGTCCAGGCACAGCTCCTCGTCGTCGAAGCGGTCGGCCATGGCGACGAGGTTGTCGCGCAGCCGCGGCAGGGGGAAGAAGTCCAGCCACGGGTGGTGCGGGACGGTCTGCTGGAGTTTCGTGGGGCGCAGGTGCAGCGGCAGCGCGGTCGGGTCGCGGGCGCCGTGCGGCTGGAGGGTCGTGAAGGGCGAGAGGGCGTCGTCGTGCATCCACTCGGCGCCGGTGCCCATGCCCAGCGTAGCCATGTTAGTAGCGAAGGCGCGGTAGACGTTCATGCGGCTGAGCGTCAGCAGGTGGTCGAGGGTCGGGGAGCCGTGGATGTAGGAGGCGTAGGCGACGCGGGTGAAGTCGGTGAGCAGGGCTTGGAGGTTTCGTTGCGTGGTCGGGTCGGTGCAGGGTTTGCGGTCGGGGCGCGGGCTCGTGCTGGTGCGCATGCGCGTGCGCGTGTGTGATTCGGGCAGTGGTCGTGTTGAGAAGGAGAAGGATGTGGATGTGGATGAAGATGTAGATGTGGAAGGTGATGTAGAGGGACTCGTGGTCGAGTTGGGAGAGGAGGTCGATGGGGAAAGGATCATGAGCATCTGTTCGTCGCTGCTGCTCGTGGGTTCCTCCGTCTTGACCGTTCGTATTACTTGACTCGGTGGCTGAGTCTGTGTTTGCCGTGTGGCTTGTTTGCGTTTTCCTTGGGAAGGTGGTGTCAGTACATATGAAAGTGATTGTAATAGGTGAGCGCAGTTTACTGTAGGCCCGCTGGTTCAGACGGTTCTGTCGTCGCCGTCGTTCTTTGCGATCTCCCATGCCAGCCCAGTCATCTTCAGGGTCCACCTCGGAACTGGCCGTAACAATCGAGATAGCAGCGCGGGTGCGCTCTTCCTTCACCAGATGCATTTCCGATTCCGACCCCATCCGGTTGGGAAGGTATGAAGTACGTATCCTTTGTGGTGTGGAAACCGAAGCGGCGATGGTAGGAGGGAGTGGGTAAAATGCAACAATGCAATGGCTGATTTAAGGTTACTAGGTTGGTTAGTAGTTGAAAGATAAGAAGTTCAGAAGAAGGATCAAGTCTAACCCAGGCTGGATCCGGCCGGGGGTTTTATGGGTGGAGGAAGCCGGAGCTAAACTTAACCCCGTTGACTCTCCACCCGCCCGTTTCGTCCTGTCATTACCGCCAGTCTCATTTCCTGTCATTAATTTCAGGTAAGTAGAAGCCATCTCTAGTGTTGTAGGGATACAAGTCGAGTTCGACAACTTCCCAGCAGAAAGGCATAAGGAAGTGATGTCTGAAGGAGAGGATAGTTTATGATGAGGTAGTTACGGGAGTCTATGTTCTAATTAGTCTAGCAGCGGCATCTTTCAGCTCAAATGCTCTATATCAAACCTACCAAGCGAGATACCCCCTCAGCATATCAACTACCTCCATCGGATCATCTGGACAAGCCCCAAACACCGTCAGAATATGCTGATCCGGACGGACCAACACCGCCCGGCCCTGCGCCAGCTTCATCAGCCCCAACCACTTCTCTCCCGCCTCACCAGGCTGAAGATCGAAATCCTTGCCCCTCGCGACTAAATCAACCCTCAGACCCGGTGGAAGCATGTCCGCAGCCTTCTCGATCACGTCTCTCCACGGATCCGCGTGCTCTATATCGACAAACAGGGTGAGCGCATCGAAAGCGCACAGATCCAATACCGAAAACCGCTTACACTCCACCTCCTCCGCCGACAACTCCCCCACATACGACGAATCAATCGGCCCCATCAGCTGACCAGTCACGGTCTTCGAAGGCTCAATCCACGCGTGGGGGATCCGCGCCCCCGATACACATTTTGCCTGGTAGACGGAAGCGCAGCCGGGAACCCGGGTCTCCCCGTACACATACCCAATGTGTAGACCCAGGTTATCGAAGTGCTCGCGCTGGCCTTCGATGCCTTCGTGCACAGCCGAGGCACGTTCGGGGTCGGCGACGGTGCAATAGAGGTTCTCACGCGCGACGTTCACGTCCGGGTCGGTTGCGCCCAGCGTCTTCAGCAGACGGAAGATCTGTTGGCCGTTTTTGACGCTCTGGGCTGCGTTGACGAGCGCGACGGGGCGGCGCTCGGATTCGTAGGTGTCAAGGAGGGCAGGGCCGGCGTGGCCGTGGTGAATGGCGGCGAGTTTGAAGGCGAGGTTGTGGACGTCGCCCAGGCCGCTGTTCAGGCCCAGGCCGCCGGTTGGGGGGAAGGAGTGGGCGGCGTCGCCGGCTCTGTCATGGGGTCAGCTTTTGCTTTGGAAATGGTGAGAAACCCTGGAGTTTACTGACAGGAGTACGCGGTTTATGCGATAGGACTTGGCCACTTTCCGGCTGAGGATCCAGGGTCGGTAGCTCAGAACGTCGTAGGGGATGTGGGTGCCTATGGCGGCGTCGACGGTCTTGCGGCAGAGGGACTCGTTCCAGGATTCCACTGGGTGTTTTTGGGACTAGTTCGTCAGTCAAGCCACCCTTGGCCGTGAGCGTGAAGAGTAAACAAAGACGTACATCAAAATTGCAAATCAGCACCTGATTTCCTCCGAGGTCATACCCGATAATGAAGCCTGATACCTCAGGGTCCATCACCCAGTGCAGCATGCCCACCCTGTCTTTGACGATAGGGTAGAGATTAGCGTTGATATGAATGGTCATCATCGTCTCGTCTAGATGTCATGCGTCAGTGTTCAGCCCTCAAGGGGGTGAGTTTCACAGACAGGAGTCCTCTCCCTGACTCTCCACCCCCAGAAACCGTCGGACAGCGCTCTTGGCCCCATCACAAGCGACCAGGTGCTTGCATTTGACATGGTATTCTCGCTGCGTAGCACGATCCTCGATCGTTGCGATGACATAATCGCCATACTTGCCAATGTCAGCGTATCGCCACTCACGCTCTCACCGTAATCCAGGAGGAGAGAGGCAACTTACATCCTCAAGCATGACGAATGAATGATTCTTGCGCATCTCTACCAAGGGGTTCTTCACCAGTTGCTTCCGCACGTAGTCTTCAAAGTCCGGTTGCGGGATGTTGTGGATCATCTAGCCTTCAGCAATTAGCTTGTTCGATTCCTCGAGCTTGTGCTTGCTGAAGCCGAGCATACCGTAGGGGTATCATCCAGAACCCCCGGATCCATCCGCTCATAAGGCAGCCGTCCCACCTGCTGCCCACTCAGATGTGTCACGAAGTTCACCCAGAATGCATCTTGGCGGTCGGTGCCCAGACAACGGATCTCGTTTACGTCAAGGCCGAACTGACGACATAGCTCGAGTGTTCTTGGAGACAGAGCGTGGGCTTTCGGGGCGTCGAGTCGTGTTGGGTAGCGTTCGCAGAGCAGAGATTTAACTTTGCAAATAACGTGTTAGTAAGATATCCTCATTTCTAATGCTACTGACCAGCTAGCAAAACAATAAAGGAAAGAAAGAAAACGCACCTCCCAACTGAGCAAGTAAGTATGCCTGGAGTAGACCGCATGGGCCGCCTCCGATGATCAGTACGGGGACGTCGTCGGCGATCTCGTAATCTTGTCTTGCAGGTGACATGTTGGTGTTTTCGAGGAGCTTGGATGTGAGGTTGTGAGTGGCGGGCTGCTTGCCTTTATGTACAGGCTGGGGGATGGAGGTAGAGGGAAGCAATGCAGGCCTTTAGCCAGTAAGTGGATTTTTTGTTGTTCAGCTTGATACTTCTCATCCTTCCCCACCCCCACTTCAGGTGGGAAAGGGATGTGCGGGCCGCGGAGACACAGCAGTCGCGTCCCCACTTGCTTCCCCGCAAATATGGCCAGTTCGAGGATTTTCTTGATGGTTGGAAGTTGTATCCCAGTGTTCGTGAAGGGCTCCAAGTCTGGTGTCATTATGTTGTGCATTGTCGGGTTTATGACAGTTCTGGAGGGGTTGGAGGAAGAAGGTTTTGATGATGTTTTAACATGATACAAGTATCGGTTTGAATTCTCCTGGAGGCTGAGTAGTGGATTCTACCTGACCCTTTCGCTTCCTATGATGACAGCACATAGAGCAGATCTTGACAGCATGCCCTGGGATTAGTTGTTCTTATGTACTGCATATCTCCAGGCTAGACGCCAGATTGGTTGACAGAACCTAGGACCGTCTTTTGCTAACATACAATAGTCAGAACATTGAGCTGGAAGTATTAGTACACCCGCCATCGGAGTCCCAAGAACAGATTTGCCAAAGGCACGCTGAGCATGTATCGTCCTGTCAATGATGTGTAATCCAATGACTCAAAGAGGCAGTTAGTCATAAGACAACCTAGAGCAGTGGAATCATCTTCCGTCTACACCCGTCATGATTATCGTCATCTGGAATGACTGGAGCTGCATCTGATCCAGGAAAAGATCTTTTCCAACACACTATCGTCTCTCCTTACCACCACGCACTACAAAGACCTGTCAATATATTCGATCAGCAAACAACACTTTTTGTCCGTCTCTATAATCCTTATTCCTACAAGAATCTTATATTCATCATGTTTCACAACGACACCTGGCCGATCCTGATTTTTTCTGTACCGTTGATAGCGTTCTTGTCGATGATCTGGACAACCGCCTGGATTTTCTACCCGTAAGTATTAAGCTTATGACGAAGCGAAATTCATACGAACTAAAGTATACGTGGGGGCTAACGGGCGAGCTACCTAGACCCTGCAAGACTGCCTGCACTGCCTCCTGCCAAACCGTCTGCGATACCACCTGCCAGACCGTCTGCGATACCGTCTGCGAAGCCGTCTGCCGTGCCAACACCCAGTCCCTGACCTATGTGCCGTCTTTTACGGTTCAGACTACTGTTGATGATTGGGGTCGTGTGATAGCGACGCTGCCTCAGGATGGCACTCGAGTTGAGCTGAAGAAAGTTTAGGTTGAGAACCGCTGGAAGCAAGATTTCAGAGAGCCATGATGAAGATCTTTGCTATGGCTGTTGGCTTACAGTTGCTTAAGAGTGTAGGGAGGGGCGCCGGCGGGGAGAGGGATTGTTGCTGCCTGTCTCCCCCATCTTGTCATTCTCAGGTCTGAGCTGTGAAGTCCATGAATATGTGGGCTTAGGTATTATTGTTGTTGACAAGTGATAGAAGTCGGGCGGGAATGGTATTTTTGCCCGTAGCTAAACAGCAAGAGCTTCACAGCCGTGAATACAAAGATGTTTTCTTATATAGTTTTGTTCATATAATTAAGAATATGCTTTGCGTGCTTTGGCCGAGGCTGATCACCAGGCCCTTGTAAGCAGTCTGCAACTTGGGGCTCGGCCATCTATTACGAAGAAGAGTAAACAGCCGTGCTTGTGTGGCTTTAGGCATTGGACCCAGCAGGATTAAGTATAACGCCATACTTTTACTTGTTGTAGAGAATATATAGGCTTAATGAAAAGAGATATACTAATAACGATCATAATAAAGGTTCATTATTTCTTCTACAAAACCTAGTAGTATTTATTTTTCACTATATAAACAGCTAGGCCTACTGAACCCCTAGAAGACTTTAAAAAAATAATTTTATAATACTATTATACTTAATAATATTAGTAGCTGAAGCTTTAAATAGTAATTATTTAGCCATAGTTTTAAACTATTGTTAAGGTACAGGCTTTTTGCACAATACCTACCGGCTGCAGACACCTCTTCTAAGGTTAATACTGATTTATTAGGCTCCTGGTTTAGATACTTATATTGCGAAATACGTGCTTTCAGAGCGACGACTCTTATTGAGGAGAAAATTACAGGACGATGAAAAGCCATCGTGCACCCAAGCTACTCTGCCTGATCATTCAGCCACGGATCCTGGAGTAGTTCCTTTGCTGTCTTCCTATCCTCTGGGCGCCACTGGAGCACCCCTCTCATGAAAACCAAGAACATCTCCTTATTTCTTCCCTCAAGGAACTCTTCCGATTGTTCCAAGCTGCCTCCTGTTGGGATCGGTATGTCTTGCTTCCAATTGCCTGCGTTGACGATCGTCAAAAAACTTTGCAGGATGGATGAAGGGAGAGATAATGCTTACCATCGTCAGTAAAGAATTCATGGCTTCGTTTCCCACGTTTGAGCATGTCTAAAGGGGACGGCCCCAGAAGACCCATGACCTCTGCCAGATGCGCCCGCGTCGAGTATCCCTTGCCGTCAGGGTCATCCCCGTGGAAAAGATGTCTCCCCTCAAATAGATCCCACACCTGTTATGTCCCACTGTTGAGTGAGTGACATACAATGGAGGAAGTGGAGCATACCATAGCCCCAACGTTCCATATATCAACCGGATAACTCCAATCAGTCTTGAGCATCACCTCCGGCGATCTATAAACATTAGGCTGCGCATCGTGATTTCGCTTCTCATCTCCTCGTACGGCTGAGCCGAAATCACTCAGCACTGCCCGTCCGAACACCTTTGGCAAGTCGAAACGTCGGGAAGCGTAGACCGGTAAGCCGTTGACGAACTTGCGAGGTGAGGGGTTCGTCAACTCAGCCTGGGCAAAGCTTTCCAGAATAGACTTTGTCCTCTATCTCTTGGAGAATGTTGTCGCTTTTTATGTCTGTCGGCATCTAAATAAGGGCAATGTTTTTGACAAGACCGTATGGAGATGACTTACCAGTGTGGACAAGCTTGCAATCGGTATGCAGGTAGTCAAGTGCCTGAAGAATCTGCAAAAGGCCAGCTTTGAGTAGATCCTCACTGAATCGATGGGTGGGGTTGCGATAAAGTAAATCTCGGAAACTTTCCCACATCGGCTTCTAAACGAGACATGGATGGTCACCGCCCGAACGGGGAGCTGTGAAGATATCCAGTGATTTTCGTACGTGAGCATGACCAGGGTGCCATGAACTGCCCCGATTCAGTCGCTTGTAGATCTGGAATTCTTGCTGATTATCTTCGTCACGTGTGTAGATCTTGAGTGACACATATTGATGGCCTCTGGTTGGGTGGGTGGGTGGGTCAGCGTATAGTTCGCATAGGCAGAACCACCCGAACTTTGTCCAGATCACGAGCGAGCCATACCGCTGAAGTAGTCTCAAAACCCAGTTTCTCGATTACCTGATACTTGGCATTCAGCACATCGCCAATATTAGCAGGATAGTATACTCCACATCTAAAATGCTCGAATCGTTCCTCCTCGAGCACTTCCGATGGAGGGAGAATGTCGAAGCCGCTGGTTGGGAAATGCATGGGAGGGCAAGGAGCCCTCCGAAACGGCTTCATGGCCCATTTCATGAGTTTAGCCATGATGGACTTTTGGGTGAGTGAGCCTGTGATAGTCAGGAATGCAAGCAGGGACCATTCCTTTCCGCTAGGCCTTCCCTTCTCAGACAAGTTAATCTGCCCCACCGATAACCTGTCAGCCTCCCAAGTAGGCTCGGACTAGAGGCCTCGGGGTTACTCCGTACACCTCTACAAGTTCACAATGACGTCCCCAAGAAGCTTACTTGAACGAAAGTCGTCACTTCTGGAGCAGAGACGTGTCGCTGCTGCTGGAAGACGCGTGTACGCGGTCAACAACAGGGCGGCGCGGAATGTTTGACTCTGGCGGTGGACGAAAGCAGCATGTGAGGACGGTTTGCACGAGATGACCGATAAACATAGTGTCGTGTACGGATACATCGGCGGGATTTGACGGCGGGAATTATCACCTGCATGCTGCCGATCATGCTGTGCGCCGTGCTGAATACCGACAAATCTATGCGAGATGTGGCATGCATTGCTATACAAACAGGGTGGTCGCCAATTGACCCGTCAATTATTCATTTTGGTGGTTTCGCAGGGTGACGTACACTCATGACGAGTGGGATTCTTGGCGGGCAGAATTGGAAGACAACCGACCGACGATACCTGTGCAAGCTTGTGTTGAAGTCATTCGAGGGGGACCAAAATAGCAGTGGACTCTCTCTCCGGTGGGCTATCACCCATAATGCGCCCGTTCGCGGAGGCTGGACCTCCAGCCTGGCGTGGAACACAATCGCATGCAGATAAGGAGGGCTAACTTACTTCTACTCGTACGTACAGCTATGGTCCAAGCCGGAATAGTGCCGAAGTGGCCAGCCATGGGGCGAGACCTTGGCGAGTTCCACCGGAATCCAGATCCTGGCGATTGAGTGGCCCGGGACTGACTGATTTTGACCAGTTTCAGTTTAGTGTCCCATGCCCCTTACGTGGAAATGGGCCATGGCGTACTGGTTTGGGACTGATTTGAGGGTGCTTGGAGTGCTGCTTGTGCCCTTTATGAGTTTAGCACTGCTTAGCACTGCTGCACTTCCAGGTCCGGCCTGAGCCTCTCCCACTCCTCTCATTATTATTCGTCTTGATTTGTCCTGTGGGCTTGCAAAATGCCCGCTGCCATCGACTTCATTACCTTAACAATTAGTTTAGTTAGAACTCGATTGTGCTGAACAAGACAAGGCAATTCATCTGTTTGTCGGCTGTTCTTTCCTTTCCCTTCTTCTCCTCCTCTCTCCCCTCTTCTTCCCGCTCCCCTTTCCTCCTCTCCTCCCCTTCTCTCCTCCTATCTCTCTGTCTCGTGAATCCCTGTCCGTCCTTGCGGTTGCCTTCAAACCTCGCGAGAGGTGAATCCCCTCCCCCTCTCCTCTCCCCCTTCCTCAATGTCGAAGAGGCGGCTATTTCGCTGGCCTGCCCGCCGCACCGCCGCCCTCGGAATTTTGGCGCTGCTGGTCACCTCCGTTCTCTCATGGCTCATCTGCGGCGGTGATTCCTACGACCCCCAACCAGGTATGTCATCGTTCGGACCTACCTCCGCCCCGGCATCTCTCTCCGGGACACCAGGTTGACCGCACGCAAATCAACAACCACAGTAGAAGAATACTTCAACCCGATCCACGAGCAATTATCGGACATCACAAAGACGTACGACAATGCGACTAGCGAGATTGGTCTAGTATTGGCCGCGACGCGGGCGGAGGATCTGACTTGGCTGTTGGATTACTGCAACGACCAGTATGGCGCGCCACCCCCGGGAACACGAACCCTCATTATGCTTTGTGTTTATTTGGCTGACGTTGGCAATCCTTCCGCAGCGGAACAATCCCATTCATCTACAGCACCGACGTCGAACCCGCCCCGAATCTCCTAGTTCCTTACACCATCCGCGGTCGCGAGGCTACCGCCTACCTCTCCTTCATCGTCGAGTTCTACAACCAATTACCGAAATACACGATCTTCATTCACTCTAACTACGATCAATGGCACAATGACCTTTTCGGCCCCCACACCGGGCCGGCACTGCGAAACCTCCGCTTGGAGGCTGTCGACGCGCAAGGTTATGTTAATCTGCGCTGCGAGCACGACCCCGGCTGCCCGACGAGCGTCCACCCGTGGAGCCCCACGCAAATCGATATCGAGAACGATGACATTCGCGCATTTTTTCCTCAGGTTTACCAGACGCTGCTTAATGTCCCTGCGAAGAAGGTTCCGGAACACATTGGCAATGTTTGCTGTGGCCAATTCGCTGTCAGCCGCCAGCGGATCCTTGAAAGACCCCGGTCGGACTACGAGCGCATGTTGCGGTGGGCCGACGAGACGGAATTGACGGACAGCTTTGGCGTGGGATGGGTATATGAGAAGATTTGGCATATCATCTTCGGCATGGATGAGATATAGTGAGTGACGGTCGCGCGGGCGTGATAGGGGTCTGATTGCAGCGGCGCAGAGGACTAACTTGATAATTAGTTGTCCGCGATACGAACAATGCCGGTGCGACGCGTACGGATGGTGTGGGCCGTTGGCCTCGGGCGAGACACTGCAGGCAGTGCGAGCGAATCCGGGTTCCACAATGGGGCCGTCGTTCTAATCATAATGGATGAATCTGGTTCTAAGCGTTTAATGCATGATGTATACTATCATGATTGGGTACATTTTGGGCACCCCAAGTCGGTCTGGCTACGATCTCTCAATTGCAATCTAATTGTACAGTTAGATGATGGACTGTTGTTTTGTTATGTTCCGCTATCTCAGGGTATATTTGTTGGGCCGTGCTAACCCACAGTTTCCGGAAGTCTCGTCAATCATGCTTCGTGACGCGCCGTCGTACGCTACAATTCGCCAATTACTCGTGGTTGATTGGTTGCTGGTGCGTCCCTCGCACGGGCCCAGCGTCGAGCTCATACAATCCTCTATGCCCGACCGGACTGGCCGGTACTTCATGCACGTTTCCACTATCCAATAATGGGACGTCCGTTTCAGATGGCCTCCGCCGGGGGATGGTATGCAGGAATAACGCGTTTTGGTCATCAGATGTCGGGACAGAGCTGGATGAGCTTTCTGTGCCGGGAATCAAAGCAGCCGGTACTGGGGGAGAAGATGGCGAGATTGTTGATATTGTGCGATGTGTGTCGTTCGACAACGATGGTGGAGGCGGCGAGAGTGGCTTCCGTGGGATACTGTTCAGGTTGATCATCTGATCGGGCTCACGCGGTTCCGACACTCGAGGTTTCAGTTTCTCTTCCATATTTGAGATCTTGCGGTCATGCGACAACCCTACTCCAACAGCTGTGTATTCAGACTTGTCCTCGTCTTGGGCCGCGTTCCGCCGTTTGCGTCTTGATCGGTCTCGACGCATTAATACCCATACGAGGAGGAAAATCAGCAGCACGAGCACGATCACGCCGATCGCAATTCCCGCTTTGGCTCCCGAACTAAGCCCGCTGCTGGAGCCGTCGGAGCAGCTATAAGACCCCCTGAACACGCCATTACTGTTGCTGTTATTGTTGCTGTCGTCATCGTCATCGTCGTCATCATCCTCATTTCGGAGGGAGTTCAAACTCGAGCAGCGAAATGATCCACCGTGCGACCGGATACTCGTCTTGCCATTGACATGCTTGAGGTCGCTAAATGATATTCTTTTGCATTATGAGAGTCAGTCTCGCTTCGCTCACAAATATGGTCCAACCCATCCCGAACGCGATGCGAACCAGGGAAACAAAAGAGGGAAATACCTACCGATTGAATTTCCCACTCAGGAGCAACGCTCCGTTCACATACTGCAAATCATCCAACACCAAATCTCTGAGCTGGGAATTATCCTCGACATCCAGCTCTCCGCTGACCTTTTGCAGATTTGACAGCGTCAGGGTGCTCAATTGAGCATTATTCTTGATGGAAAACTGTCCGTTGACGGTTTCGAGGTTCGCCGCGGAGAAAGCCGTCAGCGCGGAGGCATTTTGGATGGTGAGACCTGCGTTGAGCGTCTCAAGTTGTTTGAGGGTGATGGTGCCGGTGACGGACGGGGAGATGGTCAAGGTGCCGTGGATGGTGGAGCAGGAGGAAAGACGGTTATCGGCATCGGCTTGCGAAGTTATCGTTGTGCTGGAGGTACCTTTTTTATTACCCGTGAGCACTTGACCTCGATGGAGAGTATGTATAGTACGATGATGATATAGAATAGAGGCTAGAGGATAGAGTATAGAGTGATGACCGGCGCAAAACTCACAGTTGGTGTTCGAATCCGAGTCAGCCGCGACGGGCGGAGATACCAGGCATAGCAGGTACAAGAACACGGACACGGCTTTCATATTTGGGAGTCCAGTAAGTTCATGAAATCCAGGTGATGGCTCACGAGATCGAATCAATTTCTCTGGGTCGCGAATCCGATCATTGGGACATGACTTTATTGTTATTGAAGTCTCAGTGCTTGCAATAGATATCTGTCCAGCAATCCGTCCCAGCGAGTCAGTCGGTCCGTCCTCTTAGCTCCGAGGCGGGGACAGCCGGTGGTTAAGTATTCAGCTCCAAGCCTCGAGCAGAATGCAAAGAAACGGCAGAGAAATATGACAGCCTAAATCTCCTACTGCAGGGTTCGACTAAGATCCTTTCGGGGATAATTCCTTGCTATTATGGGTAGTCTAGCTAGGTTTCTGTGGCTTTTCTTTCTGCTTTTCTTTTTGATCTTCTGTGTTTTTTTTCGATGGTTTGTTTGGAATTTGCCGAGACCCTCTCCCTGTGCTCTGGTGGGTGTGCCGCCTTTTTGTGTGGGATAGGTTGTCGGAACTATCGGGACGGTGATAGTTGCCGTGGTTGATCTGATTTCTTGGTCTACCCTTGAGATTGAGATTTCCAGCAGAACTGGGAGGGGGAGTGATTGTGTCATACTTATGGATGCCCAGAATTCTTTGAAAGGGATTGGAAGAAGGCCAACGCATTTGCCAAACTGCATTGCAACTCGGTGTAGCGGCAGAGAATCCCTGTCACTGTCACTTCCCAAGCAGTGCGAAAAAGTATCCCAACCAAGTATCTCCGAACACTGCCTCTTTTGCTGCAGTGCTGCAGTGCCGATCCCCACTTTTTCTGTCTGGAGAGTGGTCTGATTCCAACGTACTGTACCTCCACTTGAGCGGAGTTTTCTACTTGTGTAGTTAGCGTAGGGTTCAATTTTCATATTGTGTGGTGTGCACGCCTTTATCGCCGAGGATTCTAGGCCGGCAAACCGGGTTGGAGCTCGGGTTTAGATCTAATCACTATCACTTACTGGGTTACTTGGTTACTGGGTGCTTACTGTAGTGTAGCACCGCCGAGGGGGCGCCCGCGGGGAAAAAGCATCTGATTTGCTGTCTGGCTCGTGCATCGGGGTGTATCTGTTCTATTTTTATCTGTGATGCACTCTTCTTCTGGTGCTTGTTCAGGCACCAGAGTTTTTTGTCCAAGTCAGGTGTTGGCTCGTGGGCTTGCTCTTTGAGAACAGATGGGGAGTTGGCGGTTTGGGGATGGAGTATGGGTTGATCGCTTCGACTGCTTTGGTTCTCTTCGTGGCTGGGTTGACTTCGCCTCGCTTCCTCTGGGAATACTACTTACTAGTAGCCAATTGTAGAGGGTTGGTGTGGTGTTTTCCGATCGGACGGTGGATTCTCGACATTGTCTGCGTGGGCTGAAGTTCGTTCGGTCGCGTTCGTCAGATTGAACCTGTCTCTTACTCGTGTGTTTGTTGTCTGCATAAAACTATGAGGATGAATTGTACTGCACTGTATTATCAAGGTTCGGGCGTCTGTGCATGTGATTCGCAATGGACGGTCGGGGGAATCGGGGATGAAGGATGCTGATGCAAGCCAAGCCGGCTGGCGGGTGAGCCTGCCCTGTCCGGCGGGTCGGATCGGGGGCTGGTCCCTGATGCCATAACTTTATCTCGAGGTTCGTTCTGGTATATAGATAGACAGATCAGCAACGGAACCAGATTGCAGCAATGTATAGCCTTCCAGACTTGCTTACTTTGTCTAGTCGTGACTGAGATCTCTGCTTGACGAGGTTATCTTCTGCGATTGGAACGAGGTCGCTTGGGTAGTGGTGGATTAGGGGCGTGATTCGTTGGTTCGGTGGATCTGCGATTTCGACATCACGAGAGATACCAATATGTAGGAACGGTAATCTCCTGATAATGCTTTGTCCACCTGCTCAACTTTGTCTCTCCGATGTGACAAGACTGTTTCCTTCGGTCGCTCGGTTTGTGGTGGTTTGTCGGCGTGGCTCGTTCATTTCGGCAGATTTGCGATCTGTATATCGCGAGTTGGTTTGGGAACTGTTAGCTATCTCGATGCAAGTTCAAGCCAGGAATGTTTAACAACCTGCAGGTGCCAAATTTGTCAAAGCTAGCATTGGAGTAGATGGAGAGTTCTCGAGAGAGTGCTGCCAGGGCGCGTGTATCTCGTTTCCTGGGCGGTGGATGCGCGTTGCTCGGGTTCCTTCCCTGACAAGATCGCCTTTAGAAGAGGTCAACACTGCTTGCGGTGCTCGAAGCGACAATGAGAGAAAGAGATGAGATCTTTGTCTTCCTGTATATGGGCATCGTGTCCAGGTTCTAGGGAACTGCTTCGTAGCGTAGACAAATCTGGCCGTAGGCCGGAGAGGTGTAGCACAACATTTGGCACGTTATTTGAACTTGCTCTCGACTGTATAGCCATACCATAATCATCATCTTGAACACCTTATGGCGAAGCAGGAGCAGGCGCCTCGCCTAGACACTACACTACAGATACTACGTTCCTTCTCGCAGCATAGAACTTCTTTCGTATACGTGGACTCGTTTCTGCATCGCTCGAGGCCTGCCTCTTTCCATATCCTACTGCTAACAACCGACGTACATCCCCAGGCCCCCTACCACCGGTCATGTATGTCATGTTTGTTCTTGGATCCTTCCACCTGATTCCGTGAAATGTGTGATATCGAATTCTGCTCCAGGCAGCCACTCGCTTATCAGCCAGCCAGACCTTCGTTCGACGTAGGATCACTCTTCTTTTTGATATCAAATTTTAACACAGCCAATCAGGCCACCGGATCACTTTGGCTCCTTATCATTCTTGTAAAGGGTGTTATATTCACTCTCAAAGCTCCAGGCAGCCACTCGCTTACCGGCCAACCAGATAGCTGCTTGACCCTTCTTTTTGATATCAAGTGTTTCATATGAGCTGGTTCCTGATCATTCACTGATGTTTTCAGCCGCCCAGATCACACTTTCTTTCTCTTCCCATGAACATAAATACCCCCTCCCCCTACCCTCCCCCCTCCTTTCTTCCTTCCTCTCTCTCCTCTCTTCTTCTCTTCTCCAACCTTTCCCTTCCTTCCTTACCCTCCTCTTTCCTTCGTCATCTCTCAACTCTGCGTCCGGGTGGGCTGGCGCTATGTACCCTCACTGGCCAACACCAGTGTCGATTACCTTCCACCCTAGACGGACGCAGAGTACACCGGGTCTCGAGGCTCTGGGAGCAGGCGACGTCTTCGTTGAAAAACCAGGCGACCAGCTTCATATCCTCGCTACTCATCTTTTCCCAATCTTTTGTCACCCTTTTCCTTTCTCTCCGCACCTCCGCTCCGGGTGGGCTGGCGCTATGTACCCTCGCTGGCCAACACCAGTGTCGATTACCTTCCAGCCTAGACGGACGGAGGTCACAGAGTTGTGAGGCTCTGGAAGCAGGCGACGTCTTTGCCGCAAAACCAGACGACCAGCTTCACATCCTCGCTACTCGTCTTTCCAATCTTTTGTTCTCTTTCTTTTCTAATCTCTTCCTTCTGTGAAGTCCTCACCCTTCGAGCGTGGATGGAGAGAGTCGAGATGTTTTCAATCTTTGGAACTTTTTCTGAAAGCGCTGAACTTCAGCGTTTTCAACCCACACACTCTTTTTCTTGACCAGTCCCAATGATGATGTTGGTCTTTACTGCCCCTCGCTGCAAATTCCAGGTTGCTTCGATGCAGTATTGACCTTCTTGCAACGGTAACACCAACCTTGCTGGATCTGAGGAGGCCTGCCTGATCTTCCTATTCATTTCCGCCCTCCCCTATCTTCTCTGCCCTTTCCACTCTTTTTTTTTGACCATTCCCAATGATGATGTTGGCTTTACTGTCTCTCACTGCAGAATCTAGGCTGCTTTGACACAGTACTGACCTACTTGCAAAGGTGCACCTTTGCTTGATCTGAGGAGGCGTGCCTAGTTTGTGGGTTTTTTTTGTGGTTTTTTTCTGTTCTTTTCACACACATTCCCAATGATGATCTTGGCTTCTACTGCCTCTCGTTGCAAATTCTAGGTTGCTCTGATGCAGTTTTGGCCTTCGAGCATATGAAGTTCAAATGCTGTCCTTCGCTCTGCGAAAGACAGCCACTGAACATACTTGCTTCAGATCTGAGGAGGCTTGCCTAGTTTGTGGGTTGCTGGCTCTTTTCCTTTTGTCTTTTCTTTGTCTTTCTTCTGTTTTTCCTTTTCTCCTGTACTCCGATGATGAAGCTCACTTTTGTTGCAACCTTGGACGCTGATTCTACCCTGTGGCGAGGCGACCGGTTCCGACTGGTTGCTTACCTTGCGTGGTGGGATTGTAGGCTCGGGCTTGCAGGCTTGTAACCTTGGACGCTGTTTCTGCCCCCTGATGAGGAGACTGGCTTCGGCCAGTTCCTTGTCTTGCGTGGTGGGATTGTAGGCTCGGGTTCGCTTGCAGCCTTGGATGCTGATTCTGCCCCCTGGTTGCCTTGTGTGGTGGGATTGTAGGCTCGGGCTTGCTCGCAATCTTGGATGCTGATTCTGCCCCCTGGCGAGGAGATTGGCTGCGGTCGGCTTCTTGCCTTGCGTGGTGGAATTGTAGGCTCGGATTCGCGTGCAGCCTTGGACGCTGATTCTGCCCCCTGGTGAAGCGATCGGCTCCGGCTGGTGCCTTGCTTGGGTGGGATTGTAGGCTCGGGTTCGCTTCAATCTGCTCTGAGGGGACCACCTCTTTTGTTCGTTTCCTTCTTCCTGTGCCCTCGATGATGAAAACCTCACTTGTCGCAACCTTGGATGCTGATTCCTTCCTCGGCGGGGAGACCGGTACCGGCTGGTTACTTGCCTTTTGAGGTGGGAATTGTAGGCTCGGGTCTGCTACTCGCTCTGACGGGGTTCTTCTCTCTTGTTTGTCTTCTTTCTTTTTCTTTTCTCGTAGACTTGGCCCTCGATGATGAAAACCACATTTGCTGCAGCCTTGGGCGCTGATTCCTTCCTCGGCAGGGAGACCGGTACCGGCTGGTTACTTGCCTGGATGTTGGAGTTGTAGGCTCGGGCTTGCTACTGCTCTGAGGGGGCCGCTCTACTTGAATTTTCTTCTTACTTTTCTTTGGTTAGTGGTGTCGGCGGTTGTGGCTGGTTGTTGTTCTCGCGTTCTTGATGGAGTTCGCGTCGCTGGTGGTCTTGGGTTCAATGCTCTAGCCGCGCTTCTCCTTCTCTTTGTGGTCCGAAGATGTGTGCTACTTGTTGATTAGAATCCGAATCGAAACTCCCGTTCGCATTTCTCCTTGCTACCTCCGCCCTCCTGAGTATGTACAGCATGGCTGGTCATCAATATTAGCAGGTGAGATCCGCTACCGAAGACGAAAGGTACGCTGTGACTACAGTTGAGAACAGGTTCGGCGTGAGATCAGGCTAACTTGCAGTTCTTGGATGCAGATCACACGTTCGGTCTACGAGAGGAAGCGTACGATTTACGTCGGACGAGGAATTGGCAGTCGAGAACGAACGAACGAACGAACGAACGAACGAATGAACAATCGAACCTGCGAACGAAGGAACGAAGGAACGAAGGAACGTGCGAGCAAGCGAGAGAGAAAGAAAGAGGCTATGCAGTGTGGAGGAACATGATACCACAGTATTGGTGAAAGCAGAGGCGTACAAGAAGACTATGGATGGTGGGAGTTTTTGATGGTATTATCTTTCCGATAGCAGGGGAGAGGAACCGTTGGACGAGCGGTGCCATTGCCATCATGGCGATCTGTGACAGCAGAGAAGACGAGCAAGATAGTCTGCACGTTCGTGCTGAAAAATATCGTTCGAGGCCTGGGGGTTCCGCGAGGATCCAGTTTCCGTTCTAATATGGCCTTCGCAAGGACATCATGAACAAGAACAGTCATAACTTCATGATATTCTAGAAGTAAATGGTGTCGCTAGGGATACACTCAAAGAAAAGGAAACGCATCCCGAGACGCCCACCAACCAACCGAACGTCCATCCGTTCATCCGTCTATTGTCCCTCTCACCGTCTATACGTCTCCCCAGGTGGTATCTAATGTTTGGAGTTCCTGCCATTGGGTTTCGAGCTCGCGGATCACCCACCCCGTACGCCAGCCTACCGTCTTCTCCATCCGGCGGAGAAATTCCAGGGAGCCTTGTTGCTCGGCTGCGTGACGGAGACAGTATCCATCTGTGGGGAGGAGGCTTAGTAAGAAAGGCAGAAGAGGTGGAAAAGGGCGAGGAAGCGTACAGCGATGGAGAAGATGGCAAGCCATGAAGTATGCGTTTTCGACGGTTTCGTTGGACATCGAGAGGCCGATGACCTTGATGAGGTGGGAGGAGATTGTTCTCTGTTTTGGGGTGCGGAGATTAGTTGAATTGCGAGGCAGACGTGTTAAAGAACAGGTGCGGGAGAACCATGGAAGGAATAAACAAGATGGACGATGAGAGGGTTGATGAGAGACGACGAGAGAGACGACGAGAGAGACGACGAGAGAGACGACGAGAGGGACGACGAGAGGGAACGACGAGAGGGACGACGAGAGGGACGACGAAAGAGAACGAGAGGGAAAAACAGCTGGAGCAACGAGAGGAACGATGAGAGGAACGATGAGAGGAACGATGAGAGGAACGATGAGAGGGAACGACAACTGGAGCAACGGATGGAGCGACGAAAGGAACGACGAAGAAAACGATGAAAAATGATTCGAGCAAAGACAAAGAAAAGATCACGAACCTCCTCCACACGCTTGAGTCGCGCAAGCTCGTAGTCACTGACTACGCTCCAGTGTCGGTCGGAAGCACTCAGAAAGATGCACGCCGTATGATAATATTGCAGTCCCACAGCTAGAAGTTCGAAATCATAGATCAGCCAAGCTTCTTGATAATATAGGACGACGGCAAGTCGTTGGTAAACTTTACCCGCCTGCGGCGAGATCATCCACATCTCAGGAAACGGGCGATCCTCCTTCGGATCTGCATCCTTGTACTGTAGTGGCTGCCAGCTGACCGGTCGCGCCTGGTACCATTGCTCCACGCTATCGACCAGATGCTGCCACTCCGTCTCGTCAACAGGACTGCAGTGCGAGCCCGACCATAACCGCAAGATCTTGGCGCAGTAGAAAATAATGACGTTCGCATATGAGGCGTCGTCGCGCCGGCGGAAGACCACCGACCGCTCATAGTTCGCCAGGTTGAGTTGCATCGGTTGGTGCTGCACGACGCAGGCGTAGATGGCCTGGCGGAGGAACTGCCAGCTGACGGCTTCGGCGAGCCCGCCCGAGGAAGCGGAGTTGGACATCCGGTTGAGCAGTCGGTTAGATCCGACCCAGTGGCACTTCTCATCGGTCGCGAGCTCAAGCTCTTCGTACATCCGTAGGATCACGACCGTGAAGAGGAGGTTGTCATCGTAGGTCTCTTCTGGGAGAGCCAGAGCTGCGATCAGGAGTTCGAGGCATTGGCCGTGGTACTCTGATGCTTCCCAATCACTAGCCCCTTTTACAATGGCGTCATGTCGAGCGGCAAGGGCGAGGACGGCTTTGAGAACCATCGGATATCGGAGAGCGCGGCGAGGGACTTCGGTCCCGAAGTGAGAGCGGAGATCGCAGATGTCGGCCTGAATAATGTTAGCTTCTATGAAAAATGAAGCTAATGGATTGAAAGAGAACTTGGTTGAACATACCCATGGCGCAAGCTTCTGTATGAAGAGACGGAGAAGGTGAGCTTCGCGAGGTGAGAGTGATGACGAGCTGCCTTGTCTGGGGCTGACCGCACTCATCGGCGATGCTGCGCTCGTCCAAGTACTTGCGGATGCTATCGGAGAGAGCATAGGAATGGCTTGAGGTGACAGGCTTGAAGATGTGCCGGGGAAGGGTTGTACTTCGGCAATTGGGGGTGTCGTGGGGTGTGGTGCTGAATTGTCGGCATCATGATGTCCTCGTGGGCTCTCATCCTGAGAATACATAACCTCTGGAAAAGGGAAATGGGAGAATACAGTATAGGATTGCGGGATGTCTTGCGGTGTCTCATTTGAGGGGACATGATCATCCCCCCGAGGTACCAGTGGAACGTCGCGTATATTGTCATCGTCGGAGTCGTCAGATGATTCTTGCACGAAGGTTACTGAGGCAAAATCAGTACTGCGAGAAACGGATGTGCAACTGAGCAAGGAGGTAGGCACATACACGAGTGGGGAACCTTTACCCAAGTCTGCTGAGAGTCCCAGGCTAGCTCAAACTTGGATGCCGTGCCATTGCTCTTCTGGTATACATGACGTACAGATTTGAAGCGAAACGGCGGATCTAGGCGACAAGCTCGCCCCAGGCGAGTGCAGGCGTTACACGAAGACGCCCCGGCGCGGGTAGTACATCTTATATGGCGCAAACGACAACGTTCACATCCCCTTCCAATTCTCATGGCAAGCAATTGCGGGGCAAAGGCCCTTGAGCGTTGATCGCTGCGGGGGAGGTATAGTAGGCAAAGAGGGACATCGGCGTGGTCGTCGGGGTCATCCAGTCGACTGGATACAAACGGCAACGGGAATCGCCAGGGAGAGGAAAGGAAGTGGTTGCTGATAGGAGGAGCCAAGGGAAAAATGTGAAGAAGAGTAGATGTGCGGCGAGAGGAAAGGGCCGTCGGTTATTGATCTTTTCGAGATGCGGAGAGACTGATGGCCTGTGCTGGAGCTTAGTCACTCTCCCCCGCATTTCCCCGTCCCGGGGCAGTAGTGTTTAGTAGACCTAGCCAGTTCAGGAGAATGCGTTCCACATATTGACGCGAGCCAAGCCTCCCTCCTCACCTCGTATCTCCCATCCCACCTGATCCAGTGGCATCTGGACCACTGCTGGAGTACTGAGTTCGTGCATTGACGGATCAATGTTGTGGTGTAAGGCTGTTGCGCCCCAGAGCTCGTCTCGATGTCCCCTTTTCACACTTAGATATAGTAACCCGCTGACTGGCTCGGTAGATTATACCCCGGAAAAGTCAATTTATCTCACGAGGTGCTCTTGACGAGAGAATGCCCTAGTGTGGACCTAGCTCGTGGTGATCATAGCTTGTCTCTTTCCTGTAGAAAAACTGGAAAACACGCAGGTGTGCCCCTTGCTGTATGTATTTTTATCTGCTGCATTGATTTTCTCCAAGTTGAAAAGCATGTATCAACATGCAGTGGATACAGATCACCGGGTTTTCCGAGCAATAGAATGGTTGCAGAGGAAGCCGCGCGAAGCGCCACTGATAAAAGGCGATATGCGTAGCTGGACGTGGAAGATCGACCTTGAATATACTATTTCTGGCTCCATATGCAGCAACATGCATCAGACTGCGCTCATCAGTGTCACATGACCGTTGAGCTACATTGTTTCTACCAGAGATTGTATCAAAAAGACCATCATTGATTCTAATTCATCAGATACTAAAGTCATAAAAAGTGGTATAAACGCAACCCCAACTACCTGTATGCTATCGTCGAATTCACACTTTTGTATTCCTCGTTTAAACGCTGATCGTCTTGAAGACACTGCACATATTGTTAGCATCTAATCCTCGTAATACATCTGAAAAGCATCACTTACCCAAAGCCACCGCCACCGGTAGCCATGATGGTGCCAGGCATCTGGGCCTGCCAGTGTACCTCCTTGACTGAGTCCATGTAGTGAACGAACAACAACTGCGGGGGAACCTCTTGCATCGCGGCATCCCGGTTCTCCTCTTCATCCAACTCGACGGCCAAATCCCACAACGTGACGGTGTTATCGGCAGAACCGACCGCGACAACACTGTCGTCGGTGGGGTGCCACTCAATACTCGTGACGGGTTCGCGGTGGAAGTCGAACGACGCGACCGGAGAAGCCTTAGTTGGGGCGGAGGAAGCGCTGGGCTTCCAATGTCTCAGATCCCAGACGGCCCACTGACCGTCATCAGCGCCGGTTGCGAGCAGGTGGAAAGTCTGGTTCGACCAGCTCATGACGTTCACATCGGTGTTCGAAACCTGCACATCAACGGCGGGCTTGCGCGACTTAGAACGAACATCCCAGACCTTGACGGTTCCGTCACTGCTGGCGGAGGCGAAGACGTTCTTCTCGTTCGGGGACCACTGGAGCTCTTCGACGGAGGATCGGTGACCGGTGAAGGGACGGGTGTCGGTCACCCAGCCACCTCCTTCAGTACGAGTCGTGACGTAGATCAAGCCGTCGTTGTCACCAGTCAACAGCTTGCCAAGGGGTTGCAACGGAGACCAGTCGAGGGCGTAACCTTCCGACTTGTGCATGCGCAAGGTAGAGAGGGGCTTGGATGCGGAGGGAGGGAGCATAGTACCGGGGACATCGAAGCTGGTGAGATGAGGGGTGACATCGTGGATGACGACTTGTGAGTTCTCGAGCATAGTGGCGGTGATGGTCTGAGGGGGCTTGGAGTAATCACCCGACTGGTTGGGAGTCTGGTGAGCGCGGATCCGGTTGGTTGTCGATCCGAGAGGGATGCTCTTGTGCTCAAGGATGGCTTCGCCCATGTCGTCGTCGGAATCAGAGTCGCTCTCGGAGTCCGTCTCGTTATCTTTCTCCATCTTGCTCAATCCGCTCAGCTTAAGAACCATCAGCTCGTTCTCCTTGGCGCGCTTGCCCTCGGCTTGTGTACCCGCAACGGCGTAGACGGTCGCGGGGTAGGTCTTGCGGTTGTCGCCCAGGTTGTCGCGGACGATATCGAAGGAGAGGCAGGGCCATGGTGTGCTGAGAGTGTGAAGCATGTCGTACGTGGTCGGGTCGGGCGAAAGGACCTCTCCGGGGGCGAGCTTCGTTCTTCCGGGAATGAAAGTCTGCTTGTCGACATCCATGGCTTCTGCGGGGAGCGTCTGTTGTTAGGACTTTCTGGACGGCTCAAAATGGTTCAGGAAGATATTGTAGCGTACCCTTTTCCTCTTCCTCACGCTCTGCATCCGGACGACCATCCACACCGGCCTCAAGAATCTCATCTTCACTCTCGAACTCGTCCTCGTACTCGTCCTCGAACTCTCCCATCTCATCGGGAGGGTTCTCGGTGATCGGGCGCTCACCGGCCTTGAGCGCGGCGGACTGCTCGTCGGACGCGTCGGCGGATCTCTTCGACATTTTGTTGAGGTTGATGTGTAGAATCTGTCGAAGGGAAGGTAACAGCTGTCGACGAGCCAGTCGTGCAGCGGGCGATAGGGAGGGAGAAGAGGTGGAGGGGGGTGGAAAATTGACTGATTAGGGTTCGGGGAACAATTTTTCCATGATTTTTTTCTGTTGCGCCGCGGCGAAATTCACGGGACAGGCACACTTTACCTATCGCGGACTAGCGGCGATCGGAGAATGGCTGCCCGCTTTTCTGCTGGGCAGCGGCTGGCTGTGAAAGACTGAGACTCAGTAAGAGAGAACCAACCTCCATCGAGAGCTGAGCTGAGGCTTCCATTTCCCTTCTTGCCGCTTGCTTCCACACCCACTCTTCCCACCCCCCTCCCCCCCCCTCAAGGGGCTACTACTACTAATTACAGTATTCTCTCAGCTCTACTCCGTACCCAGCACAGCTCATTCATCCCCCGTCAACCATCACCTGTCTCTCTGTTTACTTTCCTATCCAAGGCGTTTATCCCATTTTTGTTTTTCTTTTCATCTCTCTGGTTTGTTGCTTGGACCGTTTCCTTCCTTGAAGCTCCGTCGTCCCATGGCTGCGTGCCTTGGCTGCTAGTGCACCTGTCACATTACCTGGGCTCCTCCTGCAACAAAAGGTGCATACTAATTGATCATTCTATCAACAATACCCCTCCCCCCCCCCCCCCCCCCGTCTCTCCAGGGACCCTCCCTCCTTGAAGAACCTTAAACCCTTGCTAACTCACTGTTGACTCGCCAACATGGCGCTGACAAATTTGTCTGACAATTTGGCAGTCCTATCCTTTGCGACCGGATTTCGATACATGCGTTCCGACCAAACATTGCTCTGATCTCACACCCACAAATTTGGTTGGTCTTAGCATCCGCGCTCCACCGTCTCCGTCCGGACCTCGACCGTGTTTACGTCCAGCGCTAACCAAACCACGCCATCCAGGAACACCCTCCAGACACACATTCCTTCGTTATGGATACGTCACAATTTAACATGGCTGGTGCCTCCGAGCCCGCCGACCAGCTCGAGCAGGACCAGGCGCAGAGCATGGATCTCCCTACACCCACTCAGCATGGAATGGTCGCCGGTGCGGACGAGACCACGATCGCAAATGGTTACAGCAGCGACTCCCGCGCCCACTATTCTTCCCACGACTTCCAGTCCCCCGCCCGAGATTACCACTCGCAAGACGGCGAAGCCCCTCGATCGAACTATCCCTCGCAATTGCCTTCCTCTTCAAGGCCCAGCTCCGGCCACTCCAACCATCCAGACCGTCTCGTATCGCAACCGTCACAGGATGTCAGCCACAAGCAAACATCGTCGCAAGCGAAGAACAGTGTGGTGATTAAGGTGGGGATGGTTGGGGATGCTCAGATTGGAAAGACGAGTCTTATGGTGAAATATGTCGAAGGCAGCTGGGATGAGGATTACATTCAGACTTTGGGTATGTGGGGATGAAATCGTGTTCACCCCCAATTTGTGAGCCGTGCTGATGTTGGATCACAAGGTGTCAACTTCATGGAGAAGACCATCTCGATCCGGAATACGGAGATCACATTCTCGATTTGGGATCTTGGTGGCCAGCGCGAGTTTGTCAACATGCTGCCTCTCGTCTGTAATGACGCAGTGGCGATTCTGTTCATGTTTGACCTCACGCGCAAGAGCACCCTGAACTCAATCAAGGAGTGGTATCGCCAAGGTCGTGGATTCAACAAGACTGCCATTCCCTTTTTGATTGGCACCAAGTATGACCACTTTGTCAACTTTCCCCGGGAGGACCAGGAAGAAATTTCCATTCAGGTGAGCTACTGCGGGTCCCTAGTCTGGAAACGTCTGCTAACAGCGCACAGGCCAAGCGCTTCGCCAAGGCCATGAAAGCCAGCCTGATCTTCAGTAGCACCAGCCATAGCATCAATGTCCAGAAGGTCAATCACAAATCTCTCTTCCCTTCTCTTGTTCGTACTCGTCTAACTCAGATCGCAGATCTTCAAGATCGTCCTCGCCAAAGCTTTTGACCTGAAGTGTACCATCCCTGAAATCGAAAACATTGGCGAGCCTCTGTTGTTGTACAAAAATGTTTGAAAGACATGACAAAAACGAAGTGGGATGAACGATTACGTGCCTAGGACGACGTGATGTTGATGAACGAAGTTTTCCCTCCTCTGGGTGGTACGATCCGGTGGCTCCTTTTGCCGGATCCTCGAGGATCAGAGCTAGACTGGTCCGTGTTGGTGTTCTTTTTCAATCCTGTTTTTTCTCAATCACCCTCTCTTATTTCCATCTTGTCCTTCATAAGCATTGGGGTGCGCCTGGATTTTCCTTCATTTCGTCGCTTGACTTACTACTTTCACAGTGTGTTAAATTCCCCACCTGTTCATTATTTCATTTTTCAAGCGCTCATTTGCGGGCTGTCTGTCAATATTTTTTTTCCATCTGGGTCCTTGCACGATAGAGCAGGAGTGCTCGGTCCCAGCATTGGTCTGATATGTTCTTCTGTTCGTGTCGTTTGCAGCTCCTCGAGGAGATACCTTTCCTTTGTTGATAATATAATTTGACGTATGTCAGTTTAAAGGAGTAGATACTACCAACGTACCTTCCATGGAGGCTCCATTTTGAGGACCATTGATTGATTTGCCCACACCCATCTTGATAACGAATCGTGGAGAGAATCCAGACAGTCGGATCTGCGCGACGCACACGTCTTGCTGACACAGGAATAGAGAATCATATGTTGCACTATAATCATGGAAGACTTGGACCAAGCTGGTAACCATAGCACGTCGTAGGTTAGGATTGGAGAGTGTCAGTCTACTACCTAGTAGCCCATTGATGGAGTAATTGGGCTATAGTGAGTGGCTGTACAGTAAGGACTAGGGAGAGCGCTTGCCTTATCGCAACGTGAGTCTCGGACCCGGGTTCGGCCTCGGCCTTGATTTCGGAGATGGCAATTCCCCGCGCCCAGTTCTCGGGATTTTCAGCCTTGTTTGTTAGCTGGACTCCACATCCATAGCTCTCCATTCTGCAATCTCCATGCCTATCCCAGCATCCCATGGTCTGCTCCACTTGCTTCAGGAGCTATACGAGCTTGAACCGTCCCCGACTTATCGTGTGGTCCTCGGTTATCCCGAATTACCCGGCCACATAATATTTATCTCCGTCGATCGGCTAAGATGAGGAACTATATAGTTGTTATCCCATCGGAGGATCATCATAACCAAGCCACACATCACAGAGTCGCAGACTTCAACTAAATCAGCACAATGAGCCATTCCGACCTGCTCCAACTTGTCAGCTCTCTGGCCAACTATCCAGCACTGGAAACCGTTGACGAGCCCACGCGAAAGCAACTCCTCGAGAGCATCGAGAAACTGCGACGCAAAGTCGAGACTCTGACCGACTTCACCATTCGGACTGTCTTCGGGGTATGTCTGTGATCCATTTTGCCAAATTCAAGACTAACACACCACAGAGCCACCAAGCAATGGTACTACGACTCGCCGTGGATCTGGGACTTTTCGACGCCATCGCCAAACAAGGAGGCACGGCCACCACAGCCCAGCTAGCTGAATCCACCGGAGGCGACGAGCTCCTCGTTTGTACGTTCAATCACAGGATCTACTTATGCTCCAGCCTCGTCTTCAAACTAACACCACCTCCCAGCCCGCATCATGCGCTTCCTCGCCGCCATCAACATCTTCGAAGAACTCGGCCCATCCACCTACAAAACCACACCTCTGGCTGCGGCATACACCTCGCAATCCCCTCTGTCCGCCATTGTGATTCACGCGTACGTCCACTCAGGCCCCACTGCCTCTAACCTCTAAATCACCCTCCATAATGCCTCTGCCCTCAACCCCCAAACTACCCTTCTAATCCGAATTCAACAGAACACACACCCTAGTAACCATGTCCCAACTCCCGTCCTACTTCGCCGAAACCGCCTGGAAAAGCCCCGACGACGCCACGAACGGGCCCTTCCAGCACACGCACCGCACCACGCAGACCTTCTTCGAGCACCTCGGCGACCGCCCGCACCTCCAACAGGCCTTCAACGCAGTCATGTCCCTGGACTTCCGGCGCAGCAGCTCGGCCAAACAATGGTTCGAGCTGTACCCGGTCGAATCGAAACTCTTCCCCGCCACCACCACCGAAAGTGACAACCGCGCAACGCTAGTCGACGTCGGCGGCTCCCAGGGCAAAGACCTCCTAGCCCTGAGCCAGCATCTCTCCGCCACGCAATCACCACCGACATCCGACCCAACCCTGACGCAACCCCAACCAAAACTGATCCTCCAGGACCTCCCCGCCGTCATCGCCTCCATCCCGCCATCCACGGCCAAAGCCTACCCGGGGTGCATCACCCTCCAACCGCACAATTTCTTCGACGAGCAGCCCGTCCGCCACGCGCGGGCGTACTTCCTGCGCACGGTGCTGCATGACTGGCCCGATAGGCAGGCGCTGCAGATCCTGGGGCGGCTGCGCGACGCGATGGCCCAGGACTCGGTGCTGCTCGTCAATGAGGGGGTGGTGCCCGAGACGCGCGCGGGGTTGATGGCCGTACAGACGGATTTCATTATGATGTGTAACTACGGGGCGTTGGAGCGGACGAAGGCGCAGTGGGTGGATTTGTTGGAGCGGGGTGGGCTTGAGGTCTGTGGGGTTTACGGGGAGGAGCAGCAGCAGCAGGGGGGGCATGTGGTTTTTGAGGCGAGGTTGAGGCGGTCCTCTTCGTAAGATGGTTCTTGGATGAGCTTTGACGAGGATGAGGAAGGGGAGAGGGAGAGGTGAATGTTTGGTGTTTGGTGTTTTAGGCTGGATTGATTCGGTTTTGTAGATATAGAGGATAGATTGAACTGTGGCAATGGTAAGAGAGAGATATACCAAAGCATGGCTGAGCCGGGGTGCTATACTGTCTATGATTACTAAATTCAATGTTTGTGTGATCGTGAGACTCTACTATATAAGTCTGCTAAGTGTTTCCTTTTCTCTTTTTTTTCTGTTTCTGTTTTGGATTATCGTCCACTATACCCTCATTCAGGGAACCCCTCGCCGGGCATCTTGGTCGATTTTTGTTCAGGTCACTATCACCTGGTGCCACTCGTCACCCAGCATATCAAGATGCAATATGCTGGTGGAAAAAGTCCACGTAGTCGAAGAAGCTCCGCTTGTAATGGCGCTCGAACCGGCCGTCGGTGCGGTTGACCGTCTGCAGGCCGTACATGTTGGCGTAGCTGCCGAACTCGTCGTTGTCGAGGACACTCCACGCCAGTGCGCCGATCACGTTGATGCCATCCTCATGGATGGCCGTGAGGACCTCGCGCAGGAAGAAGTGGTAGTACAGCGTGCGCTCGAGATCGTAGCGCTGCGCGTTGAGCGAGCGGTTGGCGTCGGCGAACGGGTTGAAGCCGTACTCCGCCACCAGGATCCCCTTGGGTCGGAACGTGTTCCATAGGTAGCCGAGCTGCTGGCGCACGTACTGCGGCGCGATGTAGGCGTAGTCGTTGGATGCTTCACCCATGAGCCAGCCATTGGCCTGGACGTTCGTGAGCGTGGCGCAGGACGGCCAGAGCGGGTGGCTGGAGTTGGCGGCGCAGGCCTCGATGCCCTCGGGCGCCGGAGAGGCGAACTGTGCGGTGTATGGATCGATGGAGATGAAGTCGACAGTGTTCTTCACCGTGGCGAGCTCCTCAGATGTCAGCGCCTCGATCGTGATGTTGGGCGTGCTGAGCACCTCGGACGGGATCTGCTCGCTGAGGAGGAGCGGGTTACCCATGATGCCGAGGATAAAGGCCTGGTAGCGCTGCGCGCTGGCCGTGTGGGTGCTGTTGGTCGGGTCAAGAGGCAGCGCGAGGTTGTTGGCGAATTTCAGCGTGATTTGAGCCGTGCCGCCTAAGGTCTCCTTATACCAGTGGTACGCCGCAGCGTGTGCGAGTAGAATGTCCTTGAGAATGCTGTAGGATTTCGCAACGCTGCCCACTGAGATGTTGGGCTCATTGAAGGTGACCCAGTATGGCACCCGGTCGGCGTACCGGGTCATCACTTGTTTGGCATAGTATAGATAGTGCGTGGACAGGTTGCCCATGTCTGCAACCACAGACGGTGGATAATCGGCATGGACTAGTGTCACGATAGGAGTGACCCCGTATTCTATACAGGTGTTAATCACGTCGTCGTAATGGGCCAGACCCTCGGTATTCACAGGCGATCCAGCAACCCCAAAAGGAACAATGCGGCTCCAGGAGATGGAAAAGGAGTAGTAAGGAACACCCAGAGCAGCCAGTCGGGCGATGTCCTGTTTGTACAGATAGTAATTCATGGTGGCCACATTGGCATCGCTAGCACTGTCGTTCGATTGGAGTGCTCCAATGGTGTCCAGGATACTTGGTCCTCGGCCTCCCAGCTGAAGGCCCCCTTCAATCTGCCATGCACTGCCTGCAACACCCCAGATAAAGTTCTCGGGAAGCTTCTTTTCCGGGTTGGCTAGGTACGGAGTCAGAGCAGGTGGAAACACCAACTCACTGCTTGGGACAGGGGTAGGAGAGACTGTCGTGGTGAAGGGAGGCGCTGAGGAGTAGGATAACGATGCCCAGAGCTCGGCGTATGCTTGCTGGCCATATCCGTCTGTCTCTGACTCCGTAGCAGCCGTCGTGGTAGGATTGAGGCTATAGGTAGTATAGGTGACTTCTGTAGGCAGGAGGGTCGATGCTTCACTGAACGGTGGGGCAAAGGTGGCAGGAAAAGAGATAGGAGAAGGCAGTGGTGTTGCATAACGGTCGGATGTGAGCTGAGTATAACTGAACGAACTGTACCGGTAGGATGGAGTCTCGAAAGATGCAGTCAAAGTGGGAGAAGCATGCGGAGAACCGGAACGCGCCACAAGTGCTTCTCCCAGGTGGCTTCCCACCAAAACCGTGGTAAGAACAGTAGTTCTGAGGAACATCGTAGCTAAATTAACCAGGCCTGCTGGTTCAGAGGTCCTGCCAAGTCGGAGTTGCAGAGACTCTTCACTGATGTCCTAGGCATGTTCTTTCCTAGGCGGGTTCTTTCCTTGATTTATAGTCATGGTCGAGCAACATTCTCTCCCGAGCTAGTCCGCTATAGCAGGGCCAGCTTCACATCACATCGGGAAATGATCGGTGTCTGCAGATTCAAATGCGACCTTGAAGTCGTTGCTGTGTGGGGATGAAGACGCCCTTGTGAGCCCTGGCCATGGCCTCTTCCCCACGTTTCCCCGCTGCTTGAGTAGACTAAATCGACAGATGGTCAGCTCATGTTCCGAGGTATTGCCGATGATGAGCCGCGAAGAGAACATCGGACAATCCGGGGGGAGGCAAACCAAACGACGAGACTCGAGCTTTGGTAGTGATTGTGTCCCGTGTCTGACGGTGGATTGTGGGGGTGATGCGGGGTGGAGGAGGAGGAGGAGGAGTGCAGGTGCAAAGGCTACCACAGACAAGTCAATCTCGGCCCCGCCCCGTCGGACCATCTTCACCCGAAAGTCCTCCCCAGCGAGAGATCGCCTTGGTTCAAGCCTCCTCACGTCATTATATCAATACTGATTTGAACAAACTTCAAGCGTCTACGTTGACACGGCACATGTTCTATATTTGCAGCCTCTCGTCAATGTATTCCCCTCACCCCAAGTGCAGGTCTTCTGTCAGGTCTTCCTACATGCGACAACGAATCAAGCAGCTCCCTACAGCACCACATCTACTAGGAGAGTGAGAACCATTTATCTCTGAGCTTGAAGCTCGAGAATTCAGACCAAGGGGGTGTATCCCACAATTTGCGATTTATGTTTGTATACCAGGCCTCGTCCGCGCGTATCTATACTCGAGAGCAGAGGCTGCAGCGAGCCTTTATATACCTGCCACATCCCACCTTTTTCTTTCATCCACGAAAGAAAGTTGCCTCGTTATTATCCGACATGGTCTGATCCTCGAAGGTCGGATAAATCGAATCGATCTCGACCCCGCAAATGCTTTGACTGCAGCCCGCAAATCAAGGTGTGGGCGACTCAAGTCTCCGCAGGAAATATGCCGAAGCAGGACAAGCCACGCGAGAGTCAGGGTTGACATCCAAGCTACCGGTAACTGAACCATCATGAGTCCAAGAATACTTGCTGGGGTTCTCAGATCCATGTTCAAATCCCACCAATACTCCGTAGCAAATACTATCGGATTGCTTGGAATCACTGCAGGCTGAGGCGGCGCCCACTTCCTCGACATGGCTGTGGCTTCCCCGCTGATATGGGCATATAATGATCTGGAGACCCCGGATTCTCCACAATCTCCACGGCCTACACAGTGATCACCTTGAAGTTATATCAGATCCAGGTCGTTAACAAGATGAAACCGAAGGTCTACCAATTTGTAGTGGCTCTTTTTGCTGCCTTCGGATCCTTCCTTTACGGCTATGATCTGGGTGTCATCGCCTCCGTCGTTGCGTCGGACTCCTTTGTGAATAAGTTCTTGACGCATAATGGAAGCGTTATCTCCGGAACAGTTGTGTCCTTGTTCACAGCTGGTAAGCTAGGATTCCACTCCCAATGCGCTTCCAGCTAATCTTGTACAGGGGCGTTCTTTGGAGCCCTAGGAGCGGGTTATACTGACCCACTCGGTCGTCGCGCAACCCTCGTGTTGGGATCCGTGTTGTTCTGCATCGGAGGCATCCTCCAAACTGCAGCGGTCAACGTTGGCATGTTGCTATTCTCACGCATCTTTGCTGGTTTTGGGATTGGAATTCTTGTCGAAACCGTCCCAATGTTCCAGGCAGAAATTGCACATGCCAGCATCCGAGGTATTTTGGGTTCACTTCAGCAGACCATGCTGGGCATCGGTGCCTTGTCCGCGTCCTGGATCGGATACGGTTGTGAAAAGTCTTGGGCCAATACGGGCGATAGTGTTCAGTGGCGACTTCCGTAAGCGAAACTCCCTCACTAGACTAGGACTTGCCTAACCACAATACTTGCGGACAGTCTGGCACTTCAGCTGGTTCCTGCTATTGGCCTAGCTTCATGCATCTACTTCTTCCCAGAGTCGCCTCGCTGGCTTATCGACCACGATCGTCATGAAGAAGGCTTGCACAACCTGGCTCGCCTGCACGCCAACGGTAACATTGACGACGCATATGTCCGGGCCGAATATGAATTGATCCAGCGTCAAATTGAGGAGGAACATCAGCACGCCGCCAAGTCTTACAAGGAACTGTTTGCCAACCGTTCCAATACGCGTCGCATCATTCTTGCCTGTGCCTGTCAAGCATCCAGCCAAATGTGAGCCGTTCCTCTACTCACCCTTCAAGTATCTTGTCTAACCATCTCTCAGGACCGGCGTCTCCGCCATCCAATACTTCTCCCCAGCCATCTTCGCGCAAATCGGAATCTCCACCTCGAAGACCCTCCTTTACCAAGGAATCAACTCTATCATCGGCGAGCTTGCGCAGTTCATCTTTTTCTTCCTCATCGACCGGGTTGGCCGTCGCCCGTTGCAAATTGGCGGCAACATCGCCTGTGGGGTTGCCTTTATCATCGGTGCCTCGCTCCTATCGCAGTACCCTCCCGATTCCACCAACACGGCCGCTCACTGGGCCTTCATTGTCGCCAGCACCTGGGTCTTCAACTTCTGCTTCTGCGCCTCGGGGACCATGTCCTGGATTATTCCCGCCGAGATCTTCAACACCGCCACCCGTGCCAAAGGCATCTCGCTGGCGACCATGGTCTCGTTCGCCTTCAACACGATGATCGCCCAGGTCACGCCCATCGCGCTGGAGCGCATCGGCTGGCGCTATTACCTGCTGTTCATCGTGTGTGACTTTGGCAATGCGCTGTTCTTCTATATGTTCTTGCCGGAAACAAAAGGTCTCTCGCTAGAGGTGATGGATGATCTGTTCACCAACGCCCCGTTGTTGGTACCCGGCAGCCGGTGGGAGGTATCGCCGGAGGTCAATATTGAGAAGGCATTGGCGCAGGAGGCTGCTGCGGTGGAGTTGGCGGATCGCTTTTCGGTCAAGGGGGATGAGAAAGAGGGGCCTGTGTCGACGAGGGTGGAGGCGGTTTGAGGGGAGAAGAGTGGCTGCGAAGGGCCCAAATCGTCTGTCAACTCAGCTGAGCCCGTCCAGGCAGCTAAACTGTGCAAGAGCTCGCCTTACATGCCTGAGATTTCTGAAGATTTCGAACGACTGAAGCAAGCTAAGAACCAAACACTGGGTTGACTGCCTACACAACTCTTACACGTGAGGGAAATTTCTTTGGGACAATGGATGGGCGAGCTCCTATACTTATGGGCTCATCTATACAAATTCCAACTGTCAACTGAATAATTCATTGCATCCGTTAATCAAGAGCTATTGATCCCCCTGGTTGCTGAACAAGCAAGCGTGTATAAGGGGCGTAACATGTTAAAGATAGTAAGGAATCCCAGCCATCAATGGCAGGGGAACCGAATGTCCCAAGTCTCTCACAGACAAGCACAAAAATAAAAGGAGAGGCTCAAAGATAGAGCAGACCGCGGCCTAACAAGGCCCATCGGTGCGCTTGCACACCGTCGCATAGCCGCAGGTACAGTAGTCCTGATCGAAGATGGTGGCCAGGTTGGGCGGGAGGTAGGTCTGGCCGACGGTGACGGTGGCGAGGGTGGCGTTGACGGTGTTGATCCAGCAGGGGCTGTCCTCGAAGGGGTCGAGGCCGGAGACGGGGACGAGGGTGAGCACGGGCAGGTTGTAGAAGCAGGTGGGCAGGACGCCGGAGCTGGCGACGGCGGTGATGCTGACGGACTGGGAGCCGAAGTACACGCCGGTGGCGTTCTGGCAGGCCTCGGAGTTGGTCAGCAGCTCCTCGATGTCGATGCCGTAGTCGCGGATGTCGGTGAGGGTGGCGTTGGTGGCCGGGGTGTTGTGGGCCTGGCCCTGCGTGCAGTCGGCGGCGCCCGGGAAGGCCAGCGTGTAGCAGACGCCGTCGATCCAGTACTGGGCGGTGCCCGCGCAGTCGGCCGCCTTGACGGAGGCGTCCTTCAGGACGTAGTAGTCGGCCGCGCCGAGGGCGGCGCCCACCAGGTTCATGCGGATCGTCGCGTTGATGCCGTTCTGCATGTCGTACCAGGTCGTGCTGTCGATCCCGAACAGCGGCTTCACGTTGTAGAAGAAGTTGGCCGCGGCGTGCGTGAACGGGCCCGTCGTCAGGCTGCTGTCCAGCTGGCTCGCGTTGTTGGGGTACTCGTAGATCCACGCGCTGACGTTGGCGATGTTCCAGTAGGTCATCTGGTACAGGGTGCTCATCGCGTCGGTGAGCGCGTCCTCGATGCTCGAGCTGGCGGGCAGCGAGTACGAGTCCGACGTGAAGAGGCCCACGAAGGTGCTGGCCGTGCCGAGCGCCGTGTCGATCGGGGCGGTCACCGTGTCCGAGGGTGGCACCAGGCTCGACGCGATGCCGATGGCCGTGGAGAGACTGGACTCGAAGTTGGAGAAGCTCAGGGTGCCGCTTTCCACGGTGGGGGAGAAGGTGTTGACGATGTTCGAGATGTCCAGCGATGAGACGGCGCCCCCTGCGTTGAAGGCGTAGTACCACTGCAGCAGGTTGTCAAACAGCGTGTGCACCATGTATTGCGCCCAGTAGATTCCGTCCGTCACGTCACCATCGGTGCACAGGTAGGCCAGGATCGCATCGCACGGTCCGGTGGGGAAGTTCTGGCATTCAGCCTGCGCATAGGATCCGGCCATGGCCGTGTCCCAGTCGAACGGGTTGCCCGCGTACTCGGTGAGGACTTCGTCGATATAAGCCGCCCCAAGCGTGACGTACTTGTCGAGCTCCGCGGTGGTGTTCTCGCCCGGGATCAAGGCCATGCATCCGAGGTTCTGGGTCACCGTCACGCTCACCTGGCTCAACTCAACGTCCAGGCTGAGAAGCCCTGGCGTGGCGGGGTCCACGTAGACTTCGAACTCCTCCAGATCGATCGCCCACTCGCTGGTGCCCGCGAAGTTGTATGTCTGGTAATACGCCGTGCGGGTGCTCTTGGTTGTGTTGGTCATGTAGCCCACCCACTGGGTGTCGTTATACACCAAAATGTCGGAATCACTGGCACTGTCGAAGATCCACTGTGCGTCCGAGTTCTCCGCAAGGATTTGATTGATCTCGGCGTTCGAGATGTAGCCGGTGGTCTGGGTACACGGGCCTGCCGCTCCTCCTGCGGACCACGTGCAGGACGAGGAATAGCAGCCGGCGGTCGTCATTTCGAACGAGCGGCCGTAGCTGGCTACGCCTACCATGATTGAACTGGTGGCCACCGGGGCCTTGGAGATCATGGACAAAGCCCACATCGTTTCGGTGAGGTTGACGTGGTTGAACAAGCAGTCGCCCGCAGCACAGCCGGACTGGGCAGAGTCGTCTCCCAGATCCCAGGTGCCGTGCAGATCATACGCCATGAAGACAATGTAATCAACCACCTCGGCAATCTCCGCAATGGGGAAAGCCTTTAGGTACCAGTAGGATGCCGGGGCGGAGATAGAGATGGACTTGGAGGGTAAGGCCGCGCGTAGGGCTGTAAGGAAAGCCAGGTAGTTGGAGCCATCCTCATCACTTCCGGCAGGAATCCCAGGGATATCAGGCTCTCCGGGGTACTCCCAGTCGAAGTCCACACCATCCAGGTCGTACTGATCCAAGAAGTCGACGACGTTCTGGACCAGCGTATCGCGGTTGTCGGCGGTGACGGCTTCACGGAAGATCATATAGGTGTCAGGACTAGTGGAAAAATCCCAGCCGCCGAAGCTTATGATGCGCTTCATGCCTTCTAGTTCCTGAAAATACGTGAATTGCTGCTCTGCCCCGGCGATGCTGACGGAATATGTCGAGGTGATGTTGCCGAACGCGAAATGAACATGAGTGTACTGCTGAGGACTGATGCTAAAACCGTTCATTTGCAGACAAGGTCGATCAACGCTGGTGGCTTCAAAGTAGCCTACGGCGGAGTAGGATGAAGGCGCAGTTGCGGTGTTTACAATATCTGTTCCGCAATTGGAGATGCAACCGTAAGAGCCAGCAGCCGCGGTGCCAGGCGCACCAGTGGCAGCCAAAGTATCATTGCAGTAATCGGGAGTGGCGCCACACTGGCCATAGGTGTCACAGCACGCATTGACCGGGCATGGGTTGAGTAGGGCCCATGCCGCTGCATCGGTTGCACCGGTGAAGTTGGTTCCTGGGACTTGGGGCCCGCAAACTGCATTGGTGATTGCGATGGGTAAAGGAGCATTGCCATCCGACAAGCAGATAGACTGACCAGCTTGCAAGTTGTCGCAGCCATACCAAGCCCAGGTATCGGAGTTGAAATCCTCGATGTCATCTTCCGTTATGCTATACGTTGCTGCAAGGACCGAGCACGAGTCCCCAGACACAACGTCGTAGGTATAACACGTTCCATTAGCATAGGGTGATGGAGCAAAATCGGGAAGAGTGCCTGATGAGCAACAGACATACTGGCCCACGGCAAGGGTTGAACAGAGGTCGCTGGCGGTGTTGTAATCATAGAACTCATCGGATGTGATGCCGCACTCCTCAACAAGAGAAGCGCAAGAATCTCCTGACACCACCTGCACATACGAGCAAGTAGAACGACGATGGGCGTGAAGCACGGAGTGTGTATGGGAGATGCCTGACTGGCTGAAGGACCGAGCATGGACGGTGCTGTTTGTCACGGCCAGCGACGAAGAATTGGAAAGGAGTGTGTTAGTCAAGGCAAGCTCGGCGCTCCCTGTTTGGGTGGTGGTAAAACCCGAAACACATTTCCCATCGCTCCAAGTGCGGACATACTGTTGCACAGCTGCCAAGTCGCCATTCAAATCGACTGCAAGTCCCAGAGTGCGATTGGAGTTGATTCCACAGTATTGCCACACTCCACTGTCATAAATCTGCGAGGTCTGAAGCAAGTCCGCGACATCGTCCATAATAGCATCGATATTGTGGGCATGTTGGAGACTCCCTCCGATGTAAATACCCGCGGCCACTTTGTCAACTTCCGAGAAGGCAAAGATAGTCGACTTCTGACAATTACCCAATAGATATGTCCGCATGTCTTGGAGAATTGCAAGGGTCTGGTTAGACTGGGTTTTCGAAAGAGCTGTCGCAGAATCCCCGGCACTCCACAGACCGAACTCGTAGGTAGCCTTCAGGTTTGCATTCGAGTCGGCACAGGTGGTGCTGTCCACAGCGCTTTCCAAAGCATCTGAGGCATCTGCCGTGCAGGTATAGATCGTGTGTCGAGAGTTGGTGTCGTTCAAAGGGGTATTAACCATGAAGTCCAAGAGTATTGTCTGATTGCATTTCGCAACTCGACTGGTGCTCGGATACACGAACCACTGGCTGGTATCGAAGCTGCTACAGCTATCGGGACAGCGCTGAGGTCGCTGAACTCGAGCACGGGCGGAGACATTTGCAGGAGAGTTAAACCCTGAGTCCAGATCGGGGCTGATCAGCGCGCTTCCTTGGCCAGTTAGCCATAGTATCAGGAGCTGCGGAAGTAACCAAGTGATCCGCATCGTTGCTCGGGATGTTTCTCGAATTGAAGGAAAGAAAGAGAATGAATATAAGGTTGGCACGCAAGATATATGGAAGAATCAAGAGAATGAAATGTCAAGGTCTGTCAGAGAGACCGTAAGAGAGTGAAATCAGGGAATGAATGTGCGGCGGCTGCTCAGAAACGAGCGTGCTGTGCAAGAAGAACTCATCACCGCCAGCGGATGGAAGAGACCCTTTTATATTATTCTGATTTTGAGGAATAAAAGTCCTTTAGATAGCAGTCATGGTATTTCTCCGTTCATGATGAGGCTTGGACAATTTCATACGGTCCCCTCCACAAGTGCAATTAGTGAGTGAATAGTGATTGAAGCCCGAGTATACAAGCAGACGGAAACTCCGTCGAGACCATACTTACTAAGCCTGTTCGAGCTCGAGCTAGGCGAGGAGTGGACTAAGTCCCGTGGGGTCTTGCCGCTATCAGCTCCCCACAAACTTAACCAGGGATGGTGATTGGCTTGGTCGCTAAGTTGATTTATCCCTGCCCCTGATGTATATTTTCCCTGTCGCCACGTGCTGAGATCTCTGATCTTGTAATACTCATACATACGAGGAGTATATAGTAATTGGTCCCTGTGGGTCCCTGCTTTGTGATTGTTTTTTTGCGTGTCTTCAGTCCCGACATCTTCACACTTCGTGAAACTCGGTGTGGTTCGTTGAGGTCCTCCTCGTTCTCTCGTCCACCCATGTGAGGCCAGCTTCGGGAATGCAGTGTGATAGAATCTTTGTGGCTCAATTGGTCCATGATAATCAGTCATTCAACAACAATCAGCAGTGAGCGTTTTCCAGCAGAGGGATGACTGGATCCATGACCCTGGGCCATCGGAGATACAACGGCCATAGGCCCACAGTGACTCGGTTGCATATCCAAATAGGCAGTGAGGCCCGATTTCGGCCCCCAATTTGCTCGAGAATGCGGCTCTCTCGGATAAGCCCCGAGTCCACCCCGGCCTGGCTAAGCTCCTACCGGAAGAAGCTTGACTGACCCCTCTGGCATTTGCTATAGTATAATGCGCTCGGATGCGCCACCAAAAAGCCGGTACACTAGTAGTGTAGTAGCTGCCCACTGACCCTATTCTCTGCAGTGTCTAGCTAGGGGTCCCGACCCTTTGGCATCTGATTGATTCTGTATATCTGTGGATCCGGAGCTACGCGAATCACCCAATAGCATCAGTGCAGGAGTATTGGACGCGTATTCTTTTCGCCACTTTATCTATTCAATCTGTCTCCATGACCATCTGATGTGAAATTGCTTCAGTGATGGAGCATACAGCTGGAAAGTCGATGTAGACTAATGCTAGTCTATCCATCGACTTTCCTGGTCCTAATTTAGTCCCCACTTGTCTTAACAATGCGCCCGATAAGACTCGCGGAGTTACTCCAGTAGAATAAATTTTACTCAACATGCTGACATCCGGCACCGTTTCGTAGTCAGAGTACTACACCCTTAAATCCCTCGATGCCAGTTGCCATACCATACGACTTGCAATAGCAGCATTTTCCCCACCCGCCGCATGCTCTCTCCCTTGTGCTCTCCGAGAAGGTCCATGGTCAATTAATCAACTTCTGCAACATGTACAGCGGGAATTGATTCACTGAGGTTCCCGCGATCGAGGCTTTGATTTCAGAATGATATCGATGCCGTGAAGTAAAATCCTGAGGTAGGTCTGTGACTCTCCGGCAGTTCATGCAAGAAAAGATATTGGAGCCCCAGTCGGCATAGGACGACGGCGTCACTTCCTAGTTCTCCGGCGACTCATCGATTACTGCTTGCTCCATGTCCGACTACTATAGCGACAAGCATTCTGATCTCTACGATTGCAGCGATCTCAGCCATGACTGCGTCTCTTTGGTCCATCCCTAGCACTACTAAGGGGATATTGATTGCCTGGTGTCTTCTTGTGGCCATCATCTGCGCCTGGGGCTTGATCTTCACGCACTCATATTTCTGCAAGCGGAGCAGGTCCATATAGAGAGAGAAATCTAAAGAGGTGTGTGCATATGCGCGTGTGTGTATCATTGTAGATCTTAGACAGTATAGATTAGAATACATTTCTTAACCTCGGGATCTTGACCATCTAGCGTAGAACTACCATGTAAAGTCAGGTCATTATCTCTTCGACTTGTCGGTTAGTAGCAAGACTAAAACCGGCTATTTCACAATGACGCTTTATCTCGATATGCATGGACACAGCAAAACGCATTGTCACTCTCCAGCAAACCCGAGTCCAACCTTGGGACGTCCATGGAGTTTGAAAGGGAAGAGCACTTGTACCTTTGACCAAGAGGCCTTTCACAGGCTAGCTACTCCTTTCAAATTGGTCCCGAGTTTGAAAGCGTTTGTAAAGGAGAACGAAGATACGCCCAATGCATTCTTTATACGCACCATGATCTCTTTGATTGCATTGTATGACAACTCTCCCATAGGCAGGTACCTTTCCCTACGGCTCTTTATATGATTGATCCCTTTATCCCAGAGGAAACAAACATTCCAACACAGAAGAAGAGACCTGTACGCCCCAAGCACAGATATAAATAGGACCATGAACCCCGACCCCAATTGAATCATCATCACCCCCACTCACCCAGACCTTCACCCTTTCATCACCCAACCTTCCACTTTCACCACAACAACCCAAAATGCCCCAAAGCGACGAACCAGCAATCATCAAGACCACCCCGCACGGGGAGGTCATGATCTACAGCCTAACCATCGTCGGTACCTACATCGTGGTGATCGAGTCCCGGGACCCCCGATTCAAGACCGATAACTGGGCGCCGGGCCTCGAGCTTGTCCAAGAGCGATGGAGGAGCAAGCGAGCGGAGTATGAAGAGCACCAGGAATATCGCGACTGGCCGATGGGTGGGATGATCCGGGTCGACGGCCACTTCCGACTGTACAGGGAAGCCTTGACTGCGGACGGCGGCACCGGCCCGGCCCAGCGCGGCAATTATCACGGCCGCCACGAGTTCCCCGAGTTCAGGCCGGACGTGGACCCCGATGAGAACATTCGCCCGCTGATGAAGTGGCTTCGGTCTCTGCACCCGAAGGGTGAGTCCGCTCAGGAGGACGATCCTTCCTTCGACTTTGAGGAGGTTGTGAGGTCGCTACAGCAGAGGGTGCGGACCCTAGGCGAGCGGGAGGGAGTGCGCTGTGAGCGGTGTCGGTGCTCTGGTACTCATGGCTCTAGCTCGTAGGCTTTTCAGCTTACCTTTCCTTTCTCTTTTCCTGATGTAAGAAGAAAAGACCCCCAAAAAAATATTCGTAGATATATCGTATCAATATGAATGCTCATAACAAGCACCAAGTTTCTCCCTAAATAGACCAAGTAATGCTTCAAAACACTCCCAAACAGGGAGCAGGAACTGCCATCGGGAATCACCACGGTACTTCGGTCTGCTCCATAAATCATCTTAGGCGTGGAGAGGGAGATTGCGATTTACCCGGGCCGGCCTTTGCCCCAGTCTTTTTAGTAAAAATCGACGAAACTATTTTGGCTCGAAAGCGCATGCCGTTCCAGCGTTGATCCATCCTGCCCCAAAACAGAGACCTCTCCTTCTGCCGCTACTCGGACGGCATGATTGCCGCCAGTAAACCCAGTTTCAAAGGTTCTGGCGTGTGCAGATCAGGTAAGCGTGATGTGATGCACCGCACTGGGCGGGCTAGAGTCCACAGCAGTAAGAGCACCATGTACAATAGTCCTGGATGATAGACTAACTCGACGCCCGCGATACCTCATATCCTGCTTAGCTCCAAGAAATGGGTTGTTGGGCTCACTGCGATAGGGTTGGATAGTGGTAGCGTCCGCGGATGTCTGGGTTCGCTGCGCGCCTAGTGATACACGCGCGGTGTCGGAACGGAGTTCAGCAACTCGCATCGGAAAGAGCTGTTGAAAGCCTCATCGAGTACGAACGGGGCGATTGTGAGAGAGTATACGCCACCCAGCTGGCTTCGTTCGAGGAACGACGATCTTGTCGGGTCTGCGTAAGGTCCCAGCGGGGGTTAAGGCTGTGGGGCTGGTCTTTTTTCAGCAGCTAACATCGGTATTATTGTTAGCGATGCACCAGGCTAGAAAGATAGAGACTCAAGGCAAGTTATGCACTATAGCTGCCATTGCACCTCGTTTGGGGTCAGAAGACGCGTTTCGGGAGAGAAGGCGTGCAGACAAGATCACAATAGACATAACAGGCACGTTGAGCGGATGTCAAGGGGATAAAAAGATAGAATATTCAGATGGAGAAAAAATCTCTCAGGGGCTTCGACGACCGTGAGAATGTTAGCTACGCGATTGACATAGTTGTTGCAAAAGCGAGGCCCCGCGGTATCGACACTTGACGTGTTGTGTTGTGGAAGGGGAACAAACGCGGTGTCGTAGTTGCTGTGTGTGCAGTACTGTATACCCTCAGCCGCCCACCCAAAAATCAAACCACCCCACAGGGAAACAAAAAGCTCACACTGCCCAGATGCAGCCCGGGATTGTTGAATCCCTCCAAGGGGTCACCCCTCTCATTTCAGTGCTACGAAAATCCCTTTTTTTTTTCTCAGGGTTTTCTGACCCAGTCCGCCCCCGTACTGGAGGCGGGAGAAGCATCCTGCCACCGACTAGGTCTGTCACAGGACGTTCTCCCCCACCGGCGGCGAGGCTGGGGCGTAGTGTGGAATCGCCTTCCACTACGCCATCGGCCCGCTAGGCTGCCAGACTGCGCCCGCACTATAACTATATAAGAACAAAAGGAATCCTAAAAGATGAATGTTCCCGATCTAACGCCGTGAATCTTTTGGTTGAGTTCATGGTTTGCACCACCTGTGGTACTTGTACTTAGTTGTTCAGTTATATTTTGTGTGATTTATCATCTCGATGTATTTTTGGCTCTCTTTCTGGTATATGACATGTCTAACTAAGCGGCGCCAGACTTTGGTGCTGCATGATTTACGAGCTACCATCGCTCTGCCTCTGTCATTTCTTAAAACAGCCGTGGCAAGCATGGAATGCTCCGCAGGCAGTTTTTCGAGGGGTTTCTCAAGCGAGACAAGATGCAATCAGCATGGCCTCCCAATTCAGCTGGACATTCTCCATGAGTAGAAGCATTTGCTTTCATGCTCTAAGGTATTCAACAAAAATGCTCTACCTCCAGCCAACAGACACAAAAAGCCCATAAGATATCACCCGATACAATGTCCCAATCAGCAAAAGTAGTCTACCAGCGTGTCAGCATCGTGGGGGTAATCATTGTCTGTATGAGCTTTGACTCTTACCCGATATCAAATCCAGTCCGGTGATTCTTGTAACCGATAAAATCCGACGCGCCGTCCAATTGGTACAGATAGGCGAACGGCGAAGTGTTCTCGTTGTAGAACGCCTCGGAAAACCATGTCTATTACCAGAGTTCAGACGCCGCTCACTCGACAACTCAGTCAAATAATCACTCACCGCAGGCCAAAGATACCAGAACCAGCCTAGATGCCATGTCTTCACCAAGGCCAGCCGGGGTGCACAGCCCCCGAGGGCAGAGATGACAAGGCAGCTCAACATGCAGACCAGTGGACCGTCTTCGCGTCGCGTGATGGCGGCCACGATGCAGCCTAGACCGTACATACCTGTTTTCTTCAGCCAGCTGTCCGTTATAGAGAGAGAGAGAGACAGAGAGGGTACGGACAGTAGAAGTACAGAAAGTCAATCGTCAGCTGAGATCCGAAGGAGATCGTCGGGGTCGCTAGTACCATGTAGATGGTGGTGTAGTGCAATGACGACAGAAACATGCGCAGCAGCACAGAGAGGTTCTTGCCCAGGAAGTAGGCGCTCCGGGAGTGGCCGGATTGCTGTTCGCGGCGGAAGATCAACTCTTAAAGGTTGGTCAGTAGGTGTGCCATGGAGGAGAAGTGGCTTGACATACTCTCTTCACCTAGTAGCTTAACGCCTGGAGGACCGGCTGCACATGCTACGTGCGGAGGCACGTGTGAGCGGATTCGGCGCGATTCGATCTTCGGAGGCAGGGGCGAGCACTCACCTATGCCCAAGCACGAAAGCAACGCCTGCTCGGCGACCATGCGGTAGTTCACCGCACTGGAGAGCAACTCGAATGGAGGGTGATAGATCCCTTGGAAGATATGGCCGTGATACTCGAAGACCGTCAGGCCGATCATGACCCCGATGACGGAGCCCGATACTATCTCCAGGCAGAAACTCGCGGTCTGTCGGGTCTGTTGCACTGTTCCGCGGCAAAACGATAGCCAGACTTGTTGATCCCACGAAGCTTTACGCTGGCGAATCGAGAGTAGTATATTGGGGACATGTTGTGGAGTGTCGGATGCTTCGCCCGAGTCGGCGTCAGAAATGCCTGTTACTGGCATGCAGGATTTCCCTTCCTTGGCTGGCAGATCTGTCTCCTCCCAGGGATGACTGGGGAGGATGTCCATGATGATATCCGCTGGGTTGCAGAAGGAAGGAAACTCATAGCCAAGGTCTGTGAAGTAGGCTTGAGCGGTGGCGGCCTTGCCATAATAGACCTGTTTCCCTGATTTCAGAAGCATGAGAGTATCCAGAAGAGCGAAGATCTCAGCCCTGGGCTGATGAATCACACAGATGACCATGATTCCGCAACGCGAGATTGAACGCAGCAATCTCATTAAGGACAGTGCCGCGGTCGCGTCGAGGCCCGAGGTCGGTTCATCGAGGATCAACACTTTGGGAGCGGCGGCGAGTTCAAGGCCGATACTCACCCGTTTGCATTCGCCCCCAGACAATCCTCTTTGTGCAACATTGCCAACCATCTGGTCCTGCACCTTGGCAAGTCCGAGAGAAGCAATCAGCGATTCAACATAGTCTTGAATCTCATGATCCCCGAGTTTTCCACCCAGCATCACGCGTGCCGAGTGAAGAAGGTTCTCTCGAACGGTCAGCTCAGGAAGGACAAGATCATCTTGAGGGACAAAACCCATCAGCGCTCGCAGTCTGCCAAACCATAGTCAGTTCCAAGACACAGAAGAGAGGGGCTAGGGTATTTGCGCATACTCTGCAGGCTTCATCTTATACCCGTTAAAACAGATCTCGCCGGTGCTAGCCTTATTCTTTCCGCCTAAGATGTTGACGAAACTCGCTACGGAGGAACACTTAGCCTCAATGACACTCACAAGCAAGAACAGTCATCGCTAATGCGCGACCTACATTTCCCTGACCCAGAGGGGCCCATGACTCCCAAAATCGAGCCAGTTTGGCATGATCCATGCAGACCAGATAGAATGTTGGTCGGTCTGCCTCGGATTCTGAAGCTCAAATCTGTAAAGGTAATTCCCAACGGCTGCGCTGAGGTATCATCCATTGACAGGAATGGGAAGCTCAACAGTTGCGGCACATCTTGCTCCTCGTCTCCTATCTCCCGCGAATCCACAACTATCCCCTCCTTGTCTCTACGCTGCCGCGCACTCGAAAGCCTTGACCATGACCTTAGCCGCGTCAGGTCGGATGACAGAGAGAAACGCCGCATCCAGACCAGAACCACCACGATGTCCAGCAGAATACACAAGAGAATACCGACCAGATCACGCTGATGTGAGCTCCCTTCCGGACAGAGGGAGAGGGAATGGCACTTGATGGGGCTGGCAGTCCCCATGGGGCAGAAGGAGCCCTGCGGACAGGGCAGAGGTGGTGCTCCCCCGGGCGCGCAATACTTGCCCTCGGGGCATATCACGGGCTCGAGCGCTCCCTGTGGCCTGTCGCAGAAATTCCAGCCTTCCTGGAGGCGTTTGATGTGGCACTCGAACGTTGGAGTGCAATGTTCGGGTGGGAGGTTATCCTCGCTTGACTGGCCTGTTTGTGACTCGTGAGCTTTGGGCTGTCACCGGCATTTTAGGGGAATCGCACAGTAGAAGCCGTCATTGCAGGTGGGCGAAGAGGCGAGCCAGGCTGCTTGCTGCCCTGAGAGGCAGGTCTCATTAGATGGCGCCACACCTACTACGCCCGTTTTCGAACTATTCATATTGTTGTGTTGAGGATGGAACTTGAACTTCGCTTGGTCGCGTCGTGGTGAGATATACGGTGACGAACGACATGGCAAAAGGGGAAGTCCCAGCAGCCAGGAACCTTACAGGATGAGATGCAAGGTCCCGCAGATGATGCATCTCATGCATGCCAGACTAGGGTGGGCGATAGGCATCCCCCTGCAGCACTGGGCATATTCTGTTTCCTGTACCAGTGACATGTCAGAAGACGCGATGCCGGGGCTGACTGCGGTCCATGCTGTTATTTCGACTGGTTCGTTTGCGGATCGGTCCTCACCCAAATTCGACATTCTTTAAGCCAGAGCCGCGGCTCGCCTGCCGGCCAGAAATGTGGTCGCGCATGCGACTCAAGGTTGTTTACCCCTTACATATCAGCCAAATCTTATCGCAGATGGCGCTTGATGACTTGCTGGATGCCGTATCCGCAGTTCCACTGTACATTCCATGCCTTGAATCGTCGAATTCAACAACTTTCTTGTTTCTTGTTCTTCCAAAGGCCAGCTATGATGTTCCGGGCGTAGTAATGCATACTAAACGGGACTTTGAGATACTGTGCATACAGTCATACTTTATACAACAACCTCCAAAATCAATCCACATAGTCTTCATCCCCATCCTCGTCCTCGTCCTCCCCCTCTTCCACAACCCTATACTCCGCCCTCAACTCGTGGAACCTCTTCTCCGTCCAATCAAACACATTATCCCACTCAAACCGCCGCCTCGCAAACAGCTTCCGAAACCAGCCCCGTAGCAACTCATAGTCCGGCAGCTGATTATACCGCAGCCCATTCACATGGTCGAAGTACCACTCAAACTCCTCCGGCAACCCGCGACACAGCTCCTGGACCGTGATGCGACTCTTGGCCTCCCCGATGGGCCGATGCTTCGAATGGCCCAGATATTCCCAGGGGAGTTCACCCTGGAGGAACTCGACAAGCGTGTACCCGACACATTCCATATCATCGCGGTAGGTTTGATCTGCAGCCCATCGAACAGGAAAGTTAGTTAGCCCGCAACCCCATCAATGCAAACCCGAAACCCGTTATCCCCCCCCCTCTTCACACCAACCTCACATCACCCCTCAAAAGCAAACAACCAAGTAAGGAGGGGAACATACAATGCCTCGAATGCGCCGCGCGACTCGCATACACCACCGTGCCAACGACATCCTTCTCCAGCTTCCCGCGGTAGCACTTGACGTTCCGCCGACTCACGAACTTCTTCTTCGCCAGCCCGAAGTCGTTGATGTACAGCGTGTTGCCCTTCCGGCCGCGCCCCATCAGCAGGTTCTCGGGCTTGATGTCTTGGTGGATGTACCCCGCGGCATGGATGTGCTGCATGCGCAGCAGCAGCTGGTCGGCGATCATCAGCGCCGTCTTGAGGGTGAACTGGCGGTGGCAGTAGTTGAAGAGGTCCTCCAAGGTGGGGCCGAGGAGTTCGATGGCCAGGAGCCGGTAGTCGTCGATGGACGGGTGGTAGAAGTAGACTTTGGGGATCCCGGGGCCTTGGATCGCCGTGTAGATCGTGTGTTCTTGTTCGAGGGTGTCGCGCGTGCTCAGGGGTTCGAGTTTGAGGGCGACGGTGGTTTTGGTTTGGAGGTCTTGGGCTTGTGGTTGTTAGTTTTGGGGGAGGGGGGAGAAGAGGTGGGATGGGATGGGATGATCGCACCGAGGAAGACTTCGCCGTAGCCGCCTCCTCCTAGGTAGCGGAGGAGTTTGAAGCGGTTGGCGACGGTGATGTTCTGGATGATGTTTAGTGAGTTGTTGCTATCGCCGGTGTTGCGATGTCTGGGTAGCTTTAGGTGAAGAGCCTTACGAGTTGCTCGGTCGGCATAAGGATTCTCTGTGTAGTTTGCGGGACGTATGATGGACATGATCATGATGATGGTTGAGAGTGGAAATTGTGGTTGTCATGGACTATGTAAGATTGTTCTTTGTTGCATTGGTTGATTCTGAGCAGTGTCGTTCTAGGTGGTTATTGGCTTTGAGGTGCCGCGGATGTTGTGCTGGGCTGGTGTCATGCTTTGTCCTGTTTGGCTATAATTACCACTGATCCATCAAAGGAGTGATCACGATTGTGTCTTCGCTGTGAAAGCAAAATTTTCAAAAGCCCCGAGGCCTCTGTTAGGAAGTGAGTTCTTTCACTAAGCAACAGTGTCTTTGTCTTCCTCCGCTAGACACAATCTGATACTACTCATTCTTTGTCCCTTCTCCTTCTACTGCATATCAATATATGCCAGAATGCACGCACACAAGGGGCTTTTGCTTCAGTGATATAATCTCGCTCAAACACAAGCATTAGAAAGTCAAGCCTGGAAAGCGATCTCTCAATCCTCAGCAAAATTACGATTCATCAACCATCCCCATGCTACAATCATACAGCATCTTGCGCACAGTCTTCAACTTAGGAAGCTTAATACTCAATATCATAGACGAAGCGCACGTCAGCACCGCGAGCAGCGACCGGATGCCTTGCATTATCGAACGGAGCACCAGCAGCTCCACGTCTGCTGCGCACTCGGGCAGCTTCGACGACATGTACGAAATCGACCGCAAGTACTGGGACGATCTTCCCTACATCTACCTGAGTCACCGGGCCATCGTCGAGTTCCGCAAACGCGAAAAGACCATTGCCGAAGAGGCCGAACAAGAAAGGAAGAAGAAGGAGCAACAAACCAGGGCAAATCGGAGAAGCTTGCGGCTACCGCACAAGCTACGCAGTCTGAAGGAGTTTGCCAAGAATGGTGGCCCGGATTTATCTGGGGGTAGAAATGTATGCTGAGTCCTCGTGCCCAGGCGTCCTAGAACCCGAGGCTAACGGAACGATGATGATATAGTTCGGTTGGTCTGAGTCGATGCAGGCCTGCAGTTCGACCTCCCTCTACGACGGCAACTGCCGCAACTTCCTCAAGCGCCACGGCATCGCGGCCCGCTCGCTCAGTGAGTACTGCCCGCGCAACTTTGTAACTCTGCGGGAACGCTTCGAGGAGACTCGCCCATCCGTCAAGCGGCTGGACAAGAACGACCAAAAGGTCTGGCTCAAAGCCTGCCGCAACTTCGGGAAGCGCCGTGCCAAGTTCAACGATGCGCTCGACATGCTGCTGGGCGAGGCCTCCGAGACGGTCCTCACCTACGAGAGCGAGCCGATCACCGGCCTGGCCCCGCTGGTGCAGGGAATGTTCCTGGCGCAGCCGAGCTACTTCGACTGTGGCGATTTCTACGCCCTCGACGCGGACGGCCGGATCGCCAACGACCTGAAGGATTACATCCTGCCCGCGACGGACGCATACGGCGTGGTGCCGAACTTTTTCGTGCAGCTGCAGCTCGACGACAATGCCGATGAGCCCGCCGAGCTGCGGGCGATGCACTATGGGGCCCTGGGGGCGCGCGCGGTGCAGAAGCTGCGCTTCCATGCGCGCGAAGACGAGGCGTGGATGGACGAGAACGCGTATTCCATCGTCGTCGTCGTGTTCGAGGAGTCGGTGACGATCTACGGAGTGTATATGATGAAGCCCGAGGATGAATCCAGAGAGGCGGATTATCAGCTGACGGACCTCTATTATAGCCGTCTTGATCGCGGAGTGGGGCAGTTTCGGAAGGCTGTGGCGGCGGTGCGGAACGCTAGGGACGTTGCGAAAGAGTGGAGAGAGTACTTCATGGATATGGCCACGCGGGCGCTGGAGGGCGATTCTGGCGCTTTGTCGCAGGGAAGTCCGATGTCAGTGGATGAGACGCCGAACGACGATCATAGCGAGGGTCCTGGTGGGATGGCTCGTATATCCTCTCTGAGTGACGGCCAAAGCTCAGCCAGTAGCGATAGTGCCTCCTCTGGCCTCAAAAGGCGCAGAAGTGACTACAAGCTGCAGTATCCAAGCCTGGGCGAAGAGCTCCCACGTGTCAAGCGCCCTAGATCTGTGAGCAGTGGCAGTGATAGTCCGCGGTTTAGTTAGTATCATTGAAAGAGCGGGTTCTCAATTTGAAGATGGAAGGCAAGATGATGTAGGATTGGTTGACTAGGAAACAATGATCAAAGTCCAGATAGAGAGCCGAATAGACTCTGGTTCGAAAAAGGCAGGAATTTTGTAAGTACACTGGTTAATGCCCATTTAGCTTGTAATCAGTGCCAGATATTGAGATCAAAACTTGAAGATGAATGGAGCTTATGTTTTGTACTCCAGGTCTTCATCCATTGCAACGATAGCAAATGATAGCAAGCCCTTGGCGCAGCTTGGTGCCAGTGATCAACACGAACAGTTCTCGGTTGACTTGTTGGGCGCTTTTCTCTTTGATATCAGTGTTGCAAGGTTGCGAGCGTTCTGCTGCATCCAGACGTGGAATGAGTACGGCCAAAAGGAGCAGTCTGGCTGCCGCTTTAACAGCCTTTCTGCCACCGTCTAAACTGAACAGTTTCCCATTTGACTTTTCTGGGGCTGTTCACTGTGAAAATGGAGCGTCGGCATTGCGAGGTCTCGACCGTTCTGCCGCTCAAGGCGGTAAGGCTGGCGGTCAAGTCATCGTTCCAACGCCCAGCGTTTAGAACAGTTTCCAGTTCCAAAGTCTGGACGGTGTCGAATTTCTTCCAACCCAGCGCTCAAAGTAGTAGGCGGTGAGAGTGCCATTCTGCCACCACTGGGCCAGGCCAGGCGGTCAATTGCCCGATCGCGATAGTAGCTCCCACGGACATGACGATCACCGAGGCTGGACTCTCGAGCGTTTTATCATATGTTTGCAATGTAATTGCTGATCACATGAAAAGCTATAATGAGGCATTCTGGCTCAGAGACTCATATAAATGCACACTAAGATAATTGGATAAGATACTAGTTACACTGTACTGTTTTTATGAAGAGCGAGATAGAGTTTCTGGCGGAGGTGCGAATTTCAGCTCAAGCTTGCAATCTCGTACATCTCGCCTTGGTATACCTCTTGGGGAATAATCCATTACAGAATCTCAACTGGTCTCGAAGGCTTTCCCAGCCTGTGAAGTAAATTGCTACAAAGTACACTGTGGTCTGCGCACTCTACACCGAATGCAAATGCGGGGAACAAATGACGAGATCGCGGGGTGAGCCGGGTATTTCCTCCCCCGGGACAAAATGTCCCTCACCCCAACACGATTCTGCGTCTCCCTCCATCGTCACCAATGCACCCAAGCATTCTGTCCCGTTCCTTTTCTGTGCAGTTACCTACGCGCATCCTCAAAATGGCACCCAAGGTCGCAGTCCTCGATGACTACCAAAACATCAGCCCGCGCCACTTCGAGCATCTGACCTCCCGCGTCGAGTTCAGCTACTTCCCCGACACGCTGAACCCCCGCCTGGCCGACCAACAGCAACAACTCATCGAGCGCCTCCGACCTTTCGAGATCATCGTCTCCCAGCGCGAACGCACCCCCTTCTCCAAGGACACGCTCTCCGCGCTTCCGAACCTGAAACTGCTCCTCACGACCGGCACGCGCAACCTCGCCATCGACAGCCAGTACTGCGCCGAGCGGGGGATCCCCGTCGGCGGCACGCAGACCCGGCCCGCGGGGCTGAACTCCACCGTGCAGCACACCTGGGCGCTGATCCTGAACGCGGCGCGCCACGTCGCGCGCGACGATGCGGCGATCAAGCGCGGCGAGTGGCAGGGGTCGCTGGGGATGACGCTGGCGGGGAAGACATTGGGACTGTTGGGGTTGGGGAAACTGGGGGCTCAGGTGGGCAGGATCGCGGTGCAGGGGTTTGGGCTGGAGGTGATCGCGTGGTCGACGAACCTGACGCAGGAAAAGGCGGACGAGCAGGCCCGGGCGATGGGCCTACCGGCGGGGAGCTTTCGGGCGGTGTCCGACAAGCTGGCCTTTTTCCGGGAGGCCGACGTGGTGAGCGTGCATAGCGTGCTGTCGGAGCGTAGTCGGGGCATTGTGGGTCGGGAGGAGCTGGCGGCGATGAAGCAGACGGCGCTGCTGGTCAACACGTCCCGAGGTCCGTTGGTGGACGAGGCGGCGCTGCTGGAGACGCTGAACAGCGGGGCGATCGCGGGCGCGGCGCTGGACGTCTTCGAGCCCGAACCGCTGCCGGCGGATAGTCCCTGGCGCACCACGGCCTGGGGCAAGGATGGCCGCAGTGAGGTCCTGCTGACGCCGCACACGGGGTACGCGGATGAACAGATCCACGGGTGGTACCAGGAGGTCGCGGACAACCTGGAGCGGTGGTTGAATGGTCAGGAAATGACCGTCCGGCTGAATTAGTGTTCCATTCTATCTATCGCAAACAGACTAAGCGCTCCTAGACATATGATGATGGCGCTGTCTCCAGCTTTCTTCAGAATTACCTAGGTAAATCCAATTCCACCTGCCGCTATTACGTGATGGGAGTCATTCACCGACCCATGACCAGCCCCGGACGTAAGGCCGTGGAATTGAACCTCGGTCGTTCCCGCGGATCCCATTCCTTTCCTTTACTGCCTGCCTGCCCGCCTGCCAACCTTGCCTTTCCCCACTATCCGTACCCCGCGCCCATATAATGGAGCCCCTCTGCTCCAAGAGTCGTCACAATGGCCTCTTCTCAACGAATATTTCCTATTCTCCTTGCATAGACTTCCCCAAATACTACACCCACCTCAACCACCCACCGTTCCCGCAGAAAACCCAACCCAACAATGTCCACCACCACCACTACTACCACAACGACGAGCGACCAACCCCCCGCACCCCCACCCACGCACCCAACCCTAATCCACGTCCACCGCAGCCCCATCCCCTTCGCCAGTGGCGCCTACTCCCTCGTCTCGCTGCCGGCGGGCTCCCTCTTCTGCAAGATCACAGGCACGACCCCGGCCCAAAAAGCGTACACCTCCGTGCAGACGGGGCGCGACGCGCACATCGAGCTCAACTCCGACCTCGTCTACTGCAACCACTCGTGCGCGCCGACGGTGGACTTCGACATGCACCGCATGGAGGTGCGCGTCGTGGCGGACCGCGACCTGCAGGCCGGCGACCCCTTGACCTTCTTCTACCCGCAGTCGGAGTGGGAGATGGATCAGCCGTTCCAGTGCACGTGTGGGGCCGGCGCGCGGTGTCGGGGCGTTATTGATGGGGCGAAGAAGATGGAGGCTGGGGTGCTGAGGGAGTATTGGTTGAATCCGCATATTGAGGAGATGATTAGCGAGAGGGAGAGGGAGGAGGCGGGGTCGGTTTGAGTTGATGATAGATTTTTAGAGAGGGATGGGTGGGTGGGTGTTTGGGGGAATGATAGAGATAGATAGAGTTGTATAGATCGGGGAATAGATGAGATGAGTGAGTTATGCCGCTTCCTCTATTTCTTCTTCTGGGTGTGCTGTTGTAGGGTTCTGCATTCTATGGATCATGTTTGAGATGTTGTCGAGATCAATCCTGGAGTAGTATGCAGCAGGCGATTGTAGGCTGGACATCCAATGCGTGCAGCTCCCCTCTAGAGAGAATGATCATAGCTACAAGCCATGACATTCATACCGGCAAACACAGCAATCTATTCCAACTCGCCCCTCTAAATGCAGCAGCATATACATCGACCAAAATGCTATATACAGTACAACAACCTCCAATCCCCTGCCGCCTTCACAATCCAAACCCTCACACCACGCATCCGCATACCCACACCCAGTCATCTCACCCTCCACCACTCCAGCCTAGATTACCAAGCATCAACGGTGCTCTAAACACTCCTCCAAATCTCCCGCAACGACACAACCGTACTAACCACCATCCCCACCCCAACCCCCAACGGCCCAACCCCCATCCACCCAAGATAAGTCCCCGGAATCAGCAAATCGCACCCATCAACAACCACCCTCTTGAGCAGCGCGGACGTACTTGCAGCAGCGCCCGCCCTCCCCTTCTCCTTCCCAGCCCCAGCACCAGCAGCACCCCGCCTCCCCTTCCTCACCCCCTTCACCCCAGACCCAGCACCCCCAACGCACCACTCCCAAACCGCCCCAAACAGCGACAGCGCCAGCGCATAGTACCAGAACTTGAAAGCCTCGACAGTCACCGTCTTCGCCCACGGGACGGGGTAGATTTCCGCGACGTGGAGCTTTTGCGTCATGTTAGTGAATCCAGACTCACCCTCAAGGGATTGACGAGGAAAACGGATAGGGCGTAGAACAAGAAATCGGGCGCCAAGCAACCCGCGGAGACAATAAGGAAAACCACCCCGACATAAACCCCGGCCCAAAACCAAGAGACTCCAATCAGGGTAAAGAAGGGCCGAAGCAAAGAAACACATCACCGGGGTGGAAGGCGACTCACCAACGTCAAATCCTCGAGGAGGAAATACACCCCGAAGCAACTCCACTTCGCGACCTCGAGCAACCACAGGAACCCCGTGGGCGAGGTAGTGGCAGTAGTAGTAGTAGTAGTAGGGTGGTTCTTCTTGCGGGGATTAGGGGCGTCTTGTCCGAGGAGCGCGGAAACGCGGTTGAAGCAGTCCAGGAAATTCCAGAAGCGGATACAGCGGCGGACTGTGGTCGTGATTCAGTACTGGGTGGCAGGTTTGTAGGGTGATAAGGCAGACAAGGGGGGGAGGAACGAACTCAATGCTAATTGGGATTTAGCGGCTGATACTCGTTTGGTCGTGATGCTGTCCAGAGAGCCGATTTCCAGTGCCACGAGGCATATTGCTTGGATTAGGCGGAGGGTCTTTTCGTAGCCTGTGTTGAGGCGATAGAAGCGCGAGAGGCGGTCGAGCATTGGGGTGAGTGTTGGTGGTGCAGGGGTGGAATTAAGATCAAGATGATTATCCTAATAGATAATGGGAGGGATGGACGAAAGGGAGTGAGTGGGTGGCAAACTTATGTACAGAGATTCATTGGAGAAGTGATGAAAGAAAATGGGCAATCGGCACTGTTCACCCACCCAGATCAGATACGCGTTAGCGGATCAAGCTACCTGATACGGCGTCTGCAAGGCTAATTAATTACTGGCGATATCGGGATCGCGCATCCCGCTTATCTACATTCCCTCTGCATATCTACTGGCCTAGTTGGTGAAGAACTAACAACACTAGTTACCCGCTACACACAAGAACGCTGGTTTAAAAAGGTCACGCTGAACCTACCGTCTACCGTCCCTTTCCGCCAGAGATGTCCTGTCCCAGGCGGTATCCCCCAACCTTCTCCCACTCGACCTTCTGCCGTGTAATGGGCAACTGTCTGCGCAGTCCCTTGAACGATCCTTCGGCCATCTGTACGAAAGCTCGGTTCAAGTCTTCTTGGTAGTCCCGCTCTGCTCCGGCAATGCGCGAGACGATGGCCCCCGCATCCAAAGACGTCACGGACAGGCTGATCGGCTTGGTCGTGTTGAGCGCCACGTTTCCGTCCTCATAGTAGTGCACATCCACCTGGATCTTACCCGAGATCGTGGTCGACTCCGACGAGACGGGAACAGTGTAGATCGAGCGGAAGCGACCGTTCCTGGTATTTCCGGTTAGAAAGCGGGTGTTGGTGGTCGGACCGATGGATAGATCTCACCAGAAGTTATTAGGGGAGTAGCGGTTGGCGACAAGGACAATAGCGACGGCGCTGTCCTCCTCAATAGGGTAGACACCGTACGAGCAATTCCGGTAGTGTTCGAGGGCGTGAGCGCCAAGTGACTTGAGAAGAGATTTGCTGTGTCGCGACGGGTTAGCGCTGCACTCCAAATCACACGCCCAAAATGCAGCTCGAACTCACATCAAGTCGGCGTTCTGCGACTCGAGAACATATGATTGCGCAGCGGAGGCTTCCTACAAAGATACCACAAGTTCAGCCGTCAAGCCACCCCACCACGCACAATGCAGTGACCAACCTGAGTGACATGGTCCACCTCGAAAGACGTCTGGCTCTCCACATCAAAGTACCGGTTCCCTTCCAACTTGTTGTATTCGGAGATCAAGACCTGTGAGCACGCTGTCAGATCGTACTCCATTCAGGGGTATCACCGACGCAGCCGCACCTCCTGACTGGCGCCTGGAAGCTTCACGGTCGCCAACTGTGTCTCATTGTAGCGCTCGAAGGCCGGGGCCAGAGAGGGGATGATATCGGGGCCGTCGGAGGTCAGGGACTTGACATCTGTTCTTGTTCAGTTCTGGGCTGGTTGCCGTGGGGGACGTGACGGGAGTAGGGACGGGATGCAGCAAGGACTGGGCGTACCTGCGACGACATCTGCAAGCTATTTCAAGTCAAGGTTAGCTTGGGCAAGTTCACCATAACAAGTGGATTGAACTCTCGTGGATTGGGGGGTTGACCTACCTCTCCGGGCGGGGCACCCTCGATGAAAGAGGATGCGATGTCAACTGTGGAGGCCATGGGGGCTAGGCAATTATTATACAAGGTGAGAAGCTAACTTGCAGGGAGGTAGTGGATTGAGAGGTGAACAAGAAACAATATGCTCGCCAGCGTGCAGGTGGGATGAATGCAACTGCCTGATGATTAGATCATGGACAGCTCTCCGATGTCAACACGGAGGTCTAGCGCGATAACCGCCGAGGGGTCGCACGTGGCCACTGAGAGCCAGCGTTGCGGCTGTCGATACCAATCAACAAGGTGATGTGTTCAATAAACGTAAGCAATAATCTCTGTCGTCCCAACTCATGCCAGATCATTATGGCCTTCCTATATGTGTCTTTTCCTAAGTCGTTAATAAACAATCATCGAGGCCTCACTAAACTTGGCTTCATTGAACTATACTTTGTGCCTGTTATATCAGGCAGCAAGCAACACGGGCTAAGGTAACTCCCATCTCCGCTCTTATCGACCCGGCGATGACTCGGACTAGCATTTCGATAAGCCTCGTCTTGTCTTCCCCTCACCTCGCTGATTAAAGGTCAAATTACACCAAGAAAAGGCGCTTATCCGGTGATTTAGCCAGGCCAATCATTCGGTACTACCCGCAGATTCGATTGGCCCGTTGCAGCACAGCTGTTAACCCCTCCAAAACTTTTCCTGAAGACGTCTGCTGTCCCAGGTATTGCCACAGCAAGCGGCATCAAAGTTGCTTGTCCTACTGCCTGGCGAAGATTTGCTCAGGTCAATCAGCCGGTCTTTGGCTTCTGGAGACTCTCAGAATCTAACGATCCGGCCATGTAAAGGGATCACCGGTCGGATGCCGCGCAAGAAGGCTGCAGACCGCGTGGGTCCGGTCAAGACCCGAAGTCGTGGCGGCTGTAAAGAATGCCGCGCGAGTCGAGTTCGCTGCGACACGAAGAAGCCAACATGCACTCGGTGCTTGGAGAAAGGCTTGGTCTGTACGACTCAACTAGTGCTCAAATGGGAATCCGAATTCGTGAGCCGTGGCCTCGCCTTTGGCCGAGCCGGCGTCTGGAGTAAGGCCCGGGCTACCGGTGGGCCTTCCCCAAAGCCGTCGCCCGGGGCATCGCCCTCTATCTTCATTGATGATCAGGAATGGTGTCCTGTCCCGCTTATAGAATCGTGGGGCTTTGTCAATAGCGGGGTCGCAACATTTGATCAGCCATACGAAGTCGACGTAGCGTGCGACGAGCTGAACGCCCTGATCGTTCGCGACAAGGGCTATCACCACTTTCCACGCTATGTCAGTGAGACCAGTCTCGATTCGCCGCTCTCAATGAACGTGCTGAATGCTTCGTCCATTCATCCGGAGCCTGTCGGACTGTCTCCCTCGTTGTCATTGTTTCCGCCCATGTCTGCATCCGAGGATCGATTCCTCTTTGACTACTATCTTCAACAGGTGTGTCCTCGGACCACCGCAAGCTCTAAGCTCTCGTCGCCCTTTGCGTCGATCATTCTGCCCTTCTGCTTGTCCGCGTCTCCGCTCATGTTTACCGCGATACAAGCTCTTGGGGCCTGCCACTGGGCGCGCTTTGATTCTACGTACAGTGTCATTGGGCTTCGGCTCAAAGCACAAGCATTGCGGGGCCTGCGTCACCGGCTTGCAACGGAAGGCCCGCTAATATGCTCCGAAGACCCTGAGGTGCTAGCCATTATGATGATGTTGTGTCTCTATGAGATTGTCGACAACTGCGATCAACGCTGGACCATTCATCTCAAGGGGGCCAAGGATCTGATTCGTCTTCGCAGACAGCGACAGAACTCTTCCCTTGCGACATCCCGCGATGCCCTGGACCCTGTGTCTGCCTTTGCGGAGCTATTTTTTGCATTCCAGGATGTCATGGGCCGCACTGCATGCGGGGAAGAAGTGAGCTTTGGGACGGATTATTGGCACGAAAACGAACGGAACATCGATCTATGGATGGGATGTAGTCCTGAGTTGGTCTCTATTCTGTCTTCGATCACTGAAATGAGCCGGACCAGACGGAGTTTGACCTCCCATGCAGCCCGGGCATCCTTCTCGCAAAGGGCAGCGTCCTTGGTGCGCAAGCTCGAGAACCTTGTGCAAGAAGTCAGCGATGACGACGACAGCAACCTCGAATCAGCTGCTGAGCTGAAGCGTCTTGCAGCCGTTTTATACCTGCATTGCGCCTTGTATGGGGCGTCTCCATCCACGCCATTAGTAGTGGGCTACGTTCGGAAGATCTTACGGCTTGTGTCGGACCTACTCGACTCGGGCTCGCTGGTGAGCATGACCTGGCCTGTGTTCGTGGCCGCAGTTGAATTGGATCCAGGCCAGGATGAGGTTTGGAGAGACAACCGTGGTGAGACCGTGGTCCACGGACGGCCCTTGGTCTTGCGGGCGTTAGCCGCGATGGCGGAGTCCAGCGTTTCCAATGTTGCCCGGACTCGAGCGGTTATTGTCAAGGTTTGGCAGGCACGAGACAGCGATATGGTCAAAGGCTCGCCTGTAGATGCCTCGGAGGATAATCAAGGTTGCAACGACTGGGAGTGGTACGTTGCACCGATAAGCAACGCGATGAGCTTGGCATGAGGCATGATGGAAGTTGTCTTCTTGGAGGACTTACTTTGTAGGATAGTGGTGCCTTTTCTTTTTCTTTCTCTTTCTTTTTTTGTTGGGTAGGTGTTTTGAGGATGGATAGCTGAAGCTTCAAAGCATATACCTTGTTAGAGTTAGTAGTTAATGTGATGTGATGTGATCGGACCATTGAGATGGATGTTCAGGGTCCGGCCGGGGCTGAGGCTTTCTTTCCAGTGAAAGCCGGAAGGAGGCGGGGCAGACTGGGTGTGATTCGCCGGATTGGGCCAAGTTGAACGTCAGCGCGCCGATCCGAAACCAGAACGCGCCCAGCATTTCAATTAACTCAACTCAACCCATTCAACTGTCCGAGGTTCCAGTCCCGATCGCCTTGTCTCGCCGCCTGCCGCCAGTGAATCTTCCTTATCCTTATCCTTATCCCCCTGGTACTCGGTACTTCTTTTTTGCATATATGAATCTATGATACTCCTCACACGCTTGTCTCTCCTCATCGAACCGACCGAAGCCCCTTTCACACCCTTTCAGCGGAGCGGCATTACGTCGATCTGCCCGAGTACGAAACGGACCTGACGGTGCTTCTCGAAGAATACCCGCCACCAGATCGATTGTCACCATGATTCCTCTCGTCGAATAATCACAGCTGCAGCATTGACACGTGTTTGGAAACTGATCTCATCGCTACTATGTCATCATCGCAAGCCCCTTCGAGCTTGTCGCACAGCCTGGCCATACCTTTTGCGAGTCGGCTGAGCGAACAACTGTCTCAGCGGACCGAAAACACTAAATCAGGCATCGACACCGACCATGCGGTCGACAGGAGCAGGTCGCTAGGACCCCCTCTACGCCCATCGCCGGCCTCACGCTCTCTCTCCGACGCTGCAAAGCCGGTTTCCGCAACCCCCCACCATCCCATCGATTCCCGACCTCCTAGTAAGGATGATTCTTCGCTTTCAGCCACCCCGGAAACCCCTCATCGACCGTTCATGCACAATTTCCCCTTGAACCTTCCCTCCAAAACACCCGGCTCCAGCTCCTTGTCCGCGTCCAACCGTGCCCCGCTTTCGCCAAAGCTCGATTCCTCCCAAATCTATAGCTCGCCGGGCTCGGTGCTGCCCCGCCGCTCACGAGGCCTCGACTTCTCCCGTGCCTGTACCAACCTTCACCATTCCACGCTTGCTGAAGCATCGCCAGACTCTTCGCCTACGGTCGGTGGGCGCGGAGTAAATATTCCACAACGTCGCGGGTCGTTGGGATCGGCATCCGCTCATCCGTTCTCAACTTCGAACCCCGGCGACCGAACCGCGATCTCGAGCTCCGTCTCAAGCATCAACATGATGGAATCGGACACCAGCAGTAGCGAGGAGGATGACGAGCCCATGATCGGCGATCGCGACGACTTCATGATCACCAACACACCGCAAGCGAAGAAGTTTGGAGGCGGAGTGAGCCCTTTCGCGGTGGGCAATGTGTCTAGTCCCGGAAGTGAATGGATGGGTGGCTATTCGCAGGCGGCGGCTAGCCTTATGAGCTTTCAGCGTGCTCGTTTCCGGAAAGGACGCAGTCGGCAGAGTTCCAGCAGTGGCAGCTCCAAGCAGAGTCCTGGACCATTGTCCCCTCCAGTGATGAAAAGTATCGAGAATCCAAACGGCGGTTATTTCGCAGCCCGAGGCAGTGTCTCGTCGCGACGCGGAAGTCTGAGCTTGGGGACGCGGGACTTACGCTTGTCAGATGTCAGTGATGAAGGGGAGCACCGCGGCGTGCGGGGGCAGAGTCCCAATGCATCGAACTCCGAGGGCGGGCCTCTGGGGGTTATACGTCGTGCTGTTACTCGCCGAGGCAGTCTACTGGTAGGTGATTCGGCACTTGATGGGGAGAGACCAGCTACTAACGGGGTATTCCAGCCAAAAACTAAGACTTTCGCCCGCATCAGAGCAGCGTTGATGGAAGAAGGCGCTCCGATCGACAGCGAAGCCAAGCGTGAAGCGGAAGTGATTCGGCAAGTTCGAGAGAGTGAACCCGAGGTACCGCCCAAATCACCATCGGGAGCTCTTCCATCTCTCGAATCCTTCATGCCATCCACCACCCCACACCTTCCCGAAGACCGGCCTGAAACTGCCGGGGCCACCGCAGCCACCCCCGACGAGCCCAAATTCAGTGACCAAGCCCACCGGAACTCGGGCGGGATCAACTTCTGGAACTCGTTCGACGAACGATACCGCACTCCGCCGCCGCCGCCCCGCCAGCACGGGGCCTCCTCGGTCTCCGAAGACGACCTCACCATGGACTTCACCCCGTCCACGACGACCACCCAGAATCACAACCACCACGAGTTCGCCAAACCACACGAACGACCCGGGTCGCGCAGCGAAGTCTCCTCGTCGCACCCCACGCAGTCCGGCTTCCTCGGGGAGCAGATCAAGCGCAAACGCCGGCGCGACGACGACTTCGACCCCAACCTGTTCAAACGTCGCGCCGTGTCGCCCAGCATGAGCGCCCAGAGCAGCCCGATCATGCCGAACTCGCCCGCCGTGAAGGACACCAGCCCGAATATCTGGGGGGCGCCCCGCTCGAACCTGGGGTCGTTGTTCGCCGACCGGCCCAGCGTCAGCGAGCACGGGCCCCGCCCCACGACCAGCGGCCACTCGGGGAATCCCAAGCGCGTGGGCTTGCAGGGGATGAACGAGACGAATGACGGACTCATGAATATGAGTATCGAGTAGCTGCTTTTGGGGCGGGAAGAATGAGTTGCATTATGCTGGAGAATTGGGAATATATGCTGTTGCATGGTATTTATCTCACTTAGCGGGTCTTTGCTTTGTTTTCAGTTTTTTGTCGGAGTGTTTGGGAAAGGCGTTGACGGATCATCTCTGGGTTGTTGCGCATGCGGCGCGTCACTTTCAGTCACTAGTATACATACGCCGCAAATATGTACCCGGCCGAACTAATCTCACCACATTAATCCACCCTCACAATTCCACTAATGAAATTTCTCCTAGTTCGTGCGCAAGTCATAATCCCACTGTTCTAAATTTGTGCATAGTAGAAGAACGGACCAAGGTCGCAGGAAGGGCGATTGCCGCGGATTATAAGCGCCATCGTCTCTCGCATGAGAGGACTAGGTAGGCTAGCTCGTACGTAGTGCACGACACGAGCAACTTTCCGACACACCTTTTTCGCTCCCTTTCTAGAAGGATCCATCCCTTTCCCACATCATACCCCGTTGAATCCTTCAAACCCCAAACCAACCCCGGGCAGATCCAAAAAACCAAAAAAAAAAAAAGATCTCACCCCCAAACCCGCGGCCCAAACGTCGTCTCATTCCCGCGCAGCTCCAACCACGGCGTCCCCTTGCCGTCGACCGTCCCGCCGCTGACGGTGTTGCCCCACCAGCTGAACGTGAACCCGGGCAGGGTCAGGGCGAAGAAGATGACGATGGCAGCGACGGCGACGCCTGAGTCCAGCGCCGCCGAGAGCACGTAGTTGTATTTGGCCCACCAGTGGGGGCGCCGGTTCTTGATCAGCTGTCACCCGTGGGCTTTGTTAGTGGTGTTGCGTTGCGGTGCGTTGCGTTTCGGCTTTATCTGGGGATGAAGAGGTGATGGAAAGGTGATGGATGGCTTACGTACCTTGTTGAAGATGAAACTCACCACGAAGGCGGTGGAGTAGTTGATTCCGGTCTACCCTCCAATGATTAGTCTGGTGTTATTTCCGCGACGGGATGGTGATTCGGATAGGGGCAGAGGGGAGGGGGACATACAGCAGGAGGCAGATTGCCCGTCCCCGCGAAGAAGATCGGCCAGTGGATGGCTTTCAGGAGTTTCGAGTCGGGGTACTTCTTGCGGGCGAAGAAGGTCAGGATCGGGAGGAGCGCGCCCAGCCAGAAGAAATGCAGGAGGCCCGAGTACATGGCTCCGATGTTGTAGAGGCGCGCAGGACCGATGGCTTTTCATGGTGTCTTCATCAGTACTTGCGATTCTCCGGGGAGAAGGGGGGTTTTGATGGCTCGGGGTTTGAGCGAGCTTACCTCCCCAGAAGACGGCGCTGTTGTAGTTGACTCGGCCCTGCGGGCAGGTGAAGTTGTCGGGTTGGTCTTCGGAGCACACGTCTTTGACGTGGCCCAGCATCCAGAGGAGGACGCCGTCTGTACTTGGGTTAGTTGAGGGAGGAGGGGGTCGGTTGGGAGGGTGGATGCCGTACTCTGGGTTAGGGTGCCGAGGATGCAGGCGATCAGCTGCGCGACGAAGAGGGTCCGGCGCGGGATTTTCATGTATAAGCCTAGCTATATGGGGTTTTCGTTAGATGGGTTCCAGAAGAAAGGACGGGTGGACGTACCTTCATGTCCGCTGCGTAGTACATTGCTTGGCTCAAGCCGGTGTATGCGTAGAACTGATATTATTAGCATGATACCACAACCTTGGCTGAGCTGCTTACCTTGAAAATCAACAGCACAAGGGGCTTCCCCTGAAGAAGGTATCCGCAGATAATCTCGCCCAACCCCGTCAAGTTGTTACTGTTTAGATTGGCAATCGCATACACCGTCCCGACAGGGATCACGTAGATCACTGCCAGAGCTAGCGTAATGAATAGACCCCAGAAGGGGAGTCCCGTGTGCCACACGTACTGCGTCATGATGGAAAGACCCACGATGACAACCTGGACACGTTAGACGACCGACATGCATAAGTGATAGCATTGTACTGTACGTACAGTGAGCACCGCATACCACCACCAGGGCACATCGGGGTACCGGGACAAGAGTCTCGCGTGGATATCCTTCTTGCTTTGGCCTTTGAACGTGCTGATGATGTCTTTCGTATGGTGCAGCAGGACGTGCGTGATCAGGCAGCTCAAGACAGCAAAGCCCACGCCGTAGCTGAGCGAGAAGGTGACGGGCAGGAAGATGGGGCTGTACGCTTTGTACTTCGCCTCATCGAACGTGCCGGTCTCGTCCAGGATACGGCTCGAGTTGTAGAGGTTGCCGGTGTTGTCGTACGCGTCAGAGCTCGTCAGAGGCAGGTACGCGGTATACCAGGTGTTGGTGTAGTAGAGAATGGGCGCTACCACGGCGAAGAGGCAGAACCATCCCGCAAATACGTTGGCCTGGGCCCAGAATGGAATGGTCAGCGGCGATGTGTTGTATGCAATTTGGCTCCAGTCGAAGGTGGTGGGTAAATAGCCGAGACCAGTCGTCATTCCAAATAGGTTGTTCAATACTTTGTTGTCTAAACTAGTATGAGTAGGGTTTATCGTTCAGTGAGTGGTGGCATACGTACTAGGAGCCGCCCAGCAGACAAAGGCGAAAGTACTGAGTCCCGTGAAGATATAACCAGGAAACCAATACCAGCAGAAGCTTCCGATGCAAACATACAGAAAGAACCTGTATCGAGAGATCTTCCAGCCGTCGGCTATAGGATTAGCCCCACTGTGCAGTGTTTGGAAAAGTGCGACATTGGCAAGTGTTGAAGGCCAGATCTGATGATCATCATCAGCCAGTCTTGTCAGGTACCCGGATCACCCAGTAAAACATACCATCTGCGGCGGCTCAACGATATACCGATAGGTCAGACCAGCAAGACCCAGCCCAAACAGTTGCATAGTCAGGGAGAGTAGAATCTGGTAGCCGACTGGAGTCGACATGTTGAGGTACACTTTCTGTGCTTGGATGATCGCACTGGCCTGGTTTGAGTGCTAGCGTTAGCAACCACCGGAGTTTAGACGGCCTAGGAGTTTCAAATCCATACCCAAGATTGATTGAAACTGAGATTCGACATGATCGTGATCACCGCATGTTCTTTTATATTAAAATGATGGTCCGGGTTGATATCCAGCTCCCAGCGACCAATTCTGTACTTCATGATGGGTAGAGCCTTCGCGAAGGCACACCCCACCGGATAACTGATAAGCTGCGCCACGAGCGAGGTGATGGTCACACTAGGGTATCGCATGGAGAAGAACTGGTTCACACCAGTGCCGATCTTGGATGGCAGTTAGTATACAAGCTAGATCTCAGGGGGGGGCAGTCCATACCAGAGTGAAAACAACGCCGAGGAACCACATTCGAAATGTGTTGACGGGCAGTGTGGGGTCGTCAGTATTCGGCACATTTGCCCGTACCTCCAGGTATGGGGAGTTGTCGGAGTCGATGGTGTATTCAACGGTACTACTCTCGCCGATGGCGATCTCCAAGGCATCGGCACTATTCAAGGGCTTCTTCAAGATGCCATCGCCAGAGGGAACCGGATCCGCAGCATAGTTCTCGACATCTGCGCTATGCAGCGTCTCTGACTGAATCTGGGTCATGAGAGCACGTGTGCCAGGCGAAGCGCGATATACTGATCGCCTCAAAGAGCAAACGAGGACAGAAAATAGACGAAGATTGTTCAAAGATTGTTCTTTGGAGGAAATCAAATCCTCTGGCATGCCCACGCCGGCTTTTGTAGCCAACGGCTACAAACATGGCGCCTTGAGCGAGTGACCGGTAGAATTCCATGTCGAAGAAGTAGATAAGGCACTAAATGACGCACTAAACAATGCAGCCAGACGGTAGGGAAATCAGTAGATTAGAGGCTTGTCCTGATAGAAGAAGGCGGCTGAGGCCGATCTCAACGGGGTGGACTCTAATGCGGAGTCGAGAACGGGGTAAGCAAATTAAGAAGCGCCATCGGACTTGGAAGCAATCCTCAAGCCACGCGACAACATATGAAAAGTAGGTAAGGTCCAAGCGGACGAATGACAGCGAGCGGCACCGATAAACCCCGGGTATATCTGGCAGGATGCAATGGTCTTTACACATATCAAGGCCAGGGGCGACCAAGCTCGTATGATAGCGATGGTTGGTCTAGCCCGGGGTTATCACTTTGCCTCATGCACCTGACAATTGACACCATCGTTCCATGCAAGACCAAGTCTTTGATCTGGTCGCATCAATGCTCTGTCGTAGTCTCGTTGCGCCGAGGTCGGCGATTAGGAGCGGCCCCGCCCATCGGAGCTGCAGCCGGACAGAAGCCAGGGAAGCTTTCTTTTATCGTATCGCTGCACAGTCCAATGCGGGGAACCTTAGGTAAACTATGCTTGCTGAGTTGGAGACTTGGAGGCATGTCCGCTCTTATCGATAAGCATCGCGTGGACCTTCCTGGCTATCGTTCACCCAGAAAATGGCAACATCTCATGATCCAGCGACTTGGCGTCTTGTGTCCTTATAAGAGTCAGTCTGACAGTAGAACCAGCCTGGTCTTATCACATTCATTCTTACCTATGAATGCGATAAGTCGAGAGGCAGTTCTCTTCCTCGCCGCATAAACCTCTCCATAGTCGCCACATTCGCCCTCTTACCCCGTCACATACCGCATCCGAGGCCACCACACCGCACGTCCACGATGGTCACGAAAGACTCCTCCATCCTAATTGTTGGAGCAGGCACCTGGGGCTGTTCCACCGCCCTTCACCTCGCTCGCAGAGGGTACAAGAATGTCACAGTCCTAGACCCCTACCCCGTTCCGTCTGCCATCTCGGCTGGAAACGATGTCAACAAGGTCATTTCTTCCGGGCAATATAGCAACAGAAAGGATGAAATTGAAGTGAATGAGATGCTCGGGGAGCAGGCCTTCCAGGGCTGGCTGAACGACCCCCTCTTCAAGCCATACTACCACGACACGGGCCTGCTGATGTCGGCCTGCACGCCAGCTGGGCTGAGCCGCTTGGGTGTCAAGGTCAGACCCGAGGCAGACCCCAACCTCGTCGAAATGACTCAACCAGAGCAGTTCCAGAGTCTCGCACCCGAGGTGCTCAAGGGCGGTTTCCCCGGCTGGAAGGGATTTTTCCTCCGCTCCGGTGCTGGCTGGGCCCATGCTCGCAATGCTCTCGTGGCTGCTGCGAGAGAAGCACAGAGACTTGGTGTGAGATTCGTGACTGGGAGCCCGGCAGGCAAGGTGATCACGCTGATCTTTGAGAACAACGACGTC